TATTAGGAAGCATGGACCTATAAAAACAGAGTTTTTTAAAGTGTGGATACATTTAGCCGATAATTTGTGCTTTTTCATGGAGTTAGGCAGACTGTGTATGTAATTTACACATGAACACCCTTATATAATTGCACAGCAGCTCCTTCTTTGTCCATCAATTTACACATCTACTCAAGTGGATCGTTTTAGGGGCCTGGAGTGACCCACTCGACTCCTCTTTCTTTGATTGTATCTCTCGTACTTAATAACATTTGGAGTTCTTTATTAGGGTAGGAGAGACTATACGCTAAATTACCTAAAGTCAGCTCACTCACAAAAAAAAGAGAGGAAGGTACATGACAGGCAATTTAACGATCGTAACAAGAATTGTGTGCCAAGGTGGCTGTAAACACACACCAAAATACATCAAGTCTCTAGGCCTATCTGTATTTTAGGTTTTTAGCTGCTAACACTGAGAACGTGTGAGTATGTGGGCAATATTTCCCAGAGGTTTTATTTTCCGATGGTGCATTTAATGACGCTTGGCAAACCACAACTTCCAGCAGGTGAGAAATTGAAGAAAACCAACAAAAAGTCAGGTTTCTCAAAATAAAGCAAAGCATTCGTTGAGCATCATCAGCTGCGTTCATTCTTAAAATTAAGTAGTTTAAAAGTAATTATGAGATTTTGTTCGAACGGCAAGCAAAAAGGCAAGATCGATTTGTAAAGTACTGCAAATGCAGCGTCATCTGAGTTGGAGGTTACGTAGAGCTAATGAGGTGGCATAACCCTGTGATGAATGTTTGCCGTGCAAATTACTTAAGACACGGGCCAAAACCAAAAGCCACAGCTGGGGTTTTTCAGGCGTTTTGGAGGCTTTTTATGTTGGCAGTGACTTAACTCACACGAAAAAAAAAAAAAAAACACTAAACCCAAGTAAAAAGCAAACCATTCATAATGTGACACCAAACTCCCCCCCAAAAAATGTCACATTCTGATTTGGAGACTTAACTCTTCCTTCCAAGGCCTGCCTTTTTTGTGCCTAACCCCCACCCCCCCCCCCCCCCCGCCCAAAACAAAACAAAAAACACAAAAAAATTAAGAAATCCCTTCTCTTTCTCTCTCTCATCCTCCCACACCATCTCTGTGGAACTTTTGTCTCTCTGCTCGAGAGTGACGGGCAAGCCGCGGAGCTTTTGAAGCCTGCCGCACGGAGTGCTTGCTCAGTGAGCGCCGCTTCTCTCTTCTTAGTCTCACATCACGGAGCCTCACTCTCAGTTTGATAAAATATACACACGCGCCATGTATAATGGATGATGCGTTCTCTAATTGTAATGTGTCTACACGTGTGACACAGCTGCTTTGGCCTTTGGAAGAAAACAAACCGGGGGAAAAAAGAGTCAACATCAGGTCAGCTGTAAAACACAAAAATCAGAGGGAAAGGATCATAGATGGCGAATGGATGGGCTGCTTTATCTATACAGCACATACCTTCACAAAAATATCATGAAAACTGCATGATTAATGGATATCGGGGCAGTTTTAAGGCCTGTTATTTGTTGCTCTGAAAAAAAACAAACACACACTCTACAGTTTGGCACTTGTTGGCATTGGACCTGTTTGCTGCTAAACTTTAACTTGAAAAGAAAAAACAAACAGAGAAATAGCTTTGAATTAGTCGAGGCTAACATGGAAGTAAAGCCTTGTATTGATTTATTTTTGTATTTTTCGGGACTGTCTGGCGATGGCGACGGCGTTTTCTCTTCGCTGCGCTTGACATGTTGGCGCTTTGAGTTTGATCGGGGGCATGTTTAGTTTCACTTCCTTCCTCCTTTCCATTTCCTGATTTCCTGTGCATGTCGAGGTTCACGGGCCCCGGTCTGCGTGTGTTAGGCTTTCAGCAGCTGGCACATTCGCTGCGATGCTCTCAGTCTCGATCTTGTATGGAAAAATAATAGTTAAGCAATCGGCTAAACAACTTAGAGTCACCGGGACGCCTTCCAACCTTCCAATTTCAACCAAATGTTCTATGAATCTACTTTGAGACCCCATCAACTGTTTACCTTTATGTGTTTGTGTTCTTGTGTCGTGTCCTAACAGACTATTTTTTACAGAAGCCATTCACAGACAAAGTTTGAAAGTAATTTGCACCTTGATTAGAACACTGACCATAGCATTTGGAGAAGCAGAGCAACGCAGAGGCCTTATGCTGCAAGCACATATGACCAAACGGTTTGCTTGCTGCAGCACAGCAAGCAACAAACAGTTCCTCTTAAAGCTAAACCCCCTCATTTCCACACAGTGAGACAAAAAGCAACTACTGATTATGTGGCGTTTCTGAGTAGGAAAGAGAAGCAATGCACTTGCTGTGGCAGGGCCGAGTCTAGACTATGTAATTGGCTCATGACGGCCCCATAAAACTCTGATCGGATGGGGTGAAAATATTGCTTAAGCTTCGAACTGGAGCTTTGAGCTCTTGGGTGTAAACGGCTGCATTGAACCTTGGAAATGCGCGCCATTTCACCTATGCAGGCTCTAAGGAGACGAGCAATCGCCACCTTCTTCACATTTCAGCAGCACTTTTCCACCGGGAGGTCTGAGCAGCATGGATCGGCTCAGTTTCTCTGTTAATACATGGATCCCAGCTACTTCTGCTGAAATTTTTCAGCTTCCTCCAAGCACGGGCCACTCCAACCACCTCTACACAATTAACCTTCCAAGACAGAAACACAGCCTATCCTGCCTCCGACATCACACACGTGAACTCTCCAGGGTCTCGGTTGCATTGTGCTTTAATTAAGCAGCCCACCCCAGTGCAGCGCGCTAGCTAGCCCTCTAGGTCTCTTTATGTCCTCTGAGATGCCTCTGTCGAGGCCAGACAGACTCTTTGTAGACCCGTCTTTTCACTGCCTTTGTCTTTCCATCTCATCGGTCCCATGGGTGAGGCCACGGCGGCGTCCCATGTGTTATCATTGGCCAATGATAAAGTGGCTGCCACGGTCCCTCATGCATTATGCACAATGAAAGGGAAGCAACTCCTCCCACAGTTATGTAAATTTTACTTAGGGGAAACGGAGGGTGGAAAGTTGCTGGGGGTTCTGATGCCCCTTTCTTTTGGTGTCATAGGGGTTGGTACCCATTATCAGGCAATTAAAGGGAAGTCCAATCTACTAGCATGAATATGAATTACAAAACAGTAAAGCAGCCTGTATAATACGGTGCTTATTTGTGGTTGTCTTGGTAACAAAAGTAAATACAGTATGAGTTGTTTGAATAAACGCTTAATCGGGCAGTAAAAAAACATTAAATAGAAAACTGAGAAACAAAATCACAGTGCATAAAGACTTGCATAAACAATCGAACCTACTGCTAATGCTAATTTGCCTCTAAATGTGGCCTTATCATTGGGTCAGTGTGAGAACAACACCCAGTCATGCATGAAGCAAGGCCTGCCTATAAATAACCCCGCCAGGACCCAGCCAGGGCATGTAATGAGCAGTGAAGAATGGTTCACAACCCCACTATGACAGGCCCTTCTGCTGAATGTCACTGTGCCACGAACTGAGGAAAACTCCAAACTGCTCATGCCCCTTTATTAGCAACGATGTCGGTTCTACCATAGCTTTTACATTAGCATAAAATGGACAAATAGGCACCCATTACCGCCCCAATCTAGTTTATTTTTCTGAAATCTCTGCGTAAACAGATCCTTGGATGTTTGGTTTCCATTGCCACTGATGATATTTAAAACCAATACCCTGCTTTAAATTGCCCATTTACCCAGTCCGCTGTAGTTGAATAGCGGATGCCCAATTTGATTGTGAACGAACTGTAACTGCATATCTTATTGACTGTGCCACCATGCCATTGTGTTCGGAGTGCTCCCTTCCAGGAAACAGACCAGATCCCTCGTCTCCATCAGATGCGTGGTACATCCTAGTATTATATTCATACTTGAATCGCCTGTTTGCAATGAAACGTGAACATCAGGGCATCCATCACAAAGCAATATGCTGTATCCTGCATGAGTGTGAGTGTTTCATAGGGACAGTCTAATCCTTCTACGGCGGGTCTGCAGGCTCGGTGGGTGAGTGTCTACCTCACTGAGTGTTGTCAAAAAGCCAGGCACCCAGATTCAATGTTATGAAGACGAATATTAATCTGGTCCTGGCTCAGGTTTTCCAGTTATTGCAGCAGATGGTATCTTACAAGCGGGAGCCACATGGCCAAAGCTATCTATTCCTTTACCTATCTCTACTTAACAAAGCTAAATTAATCTTCTGGATAGGTCTAAAGCATGTGGTCTTGGTTACGCAATGAGTAACGTAGGGAACACCATATTTTCCATTCATTCTTTTGAAAAATGTAAGTAAAGCCAAGTAAAGCCAAAGCTTTTCACACATTTGCATCACCTCAAATGGGCAGTTGTTGTTGTTGTTTTTGTTTTTTCAACTATTGTTTTGAACTCAAATAACTCCAAAGAAGTAGCTTATGAGTAGATTCAAACTCAAGAGACTGTTGTAAATGTGAAAAAGGGTGCAAGTGGCCGTTTTGCGTTAACTTTTTTTCCTCAGCCGGAGTTTTTATGCTAGCTGTCAGAAAAGCGCACGCGACCGAGCAACAACTGACAGCGCTGTTAAAAAGCTAATCTTTTCTCCTGTATAACGAACACACACCAAACGAAATGTTTGTTTATTTTCTTTATCATCATTATATCGTCCAAAGTAGTTTTTCGGCAACCTGTGAGTGCAGTTTCCCGCAAAGTAAATACACAGCAAGGGGTAGTGGGGCGATACAAGCAAGGCTCGAAAAAAAGTTGAATTGTTTGTTAAAGCGTATCTCTATTCCAGAATTTCATTAAGCCGATTTTTTAAACGCAGGCACGTTTCTGTGGGGGAGCAGACGTCACGGTCTTGTAAGGAATAGCGTGTCTGTTTGACCGCAATGAAACTTAAAAGCCGGGTCCTTATCGTGAAGTCTGGATGTGGCTGCGTTGAACAGACGACAGGCAAGTGTCTTACCTGTGACATTTGCGGACGGAGGTTGATTTCTTTCAGGTTGATGCTTTGGGGCTTAAGGTTGTTGAGCAGATGGCACAGGAGGACTCCATCCCGGAGGGTTTGAGCCAAGTCAAATACCTGTGCGACGTCCAACGTTACCCGGTGGTTCGCTGGAAGCACCTTGCAGTTGATCAGCCACAGCGCGCACTGCCTCCAGTACTCCATCATTATTCTGCCTTCGCCCGGACGAGCTCTGAAGGGGTCTTAAAAAATGAAAACTGCTTAAGGTTCGGTTCTACGCGCTCTTAATTCGTACCCATGCCACATCCGTCCAACTGTAAAGGCAACGAAAACAGAAGGGAACCCCACGGCGGAGAGCTAGCGGAGTCGCGGTCGGACACTCCGAGGATGAGTCCGGCGTAGTGGAGCTGTGGATGGAGCGCGTCCTGAAATCTTGTTCGCTCGCTCCCTCCCTCTCTCTCTCTCGCTGTCTGTCTCTCTTCCCTCCCCTTCACCCAGCCTCTCACCTCTTCCGCTTACCACAGAAGCTAGTTGAGTAGGCAACTACTGTCTGATCACGGTGCAAGAAGTAAAACTTAGTAAAAAACCGAGCACGCTTCAAAGCATGCATGCAAAACTTAAGCCAAATTTTATTCCATTTGCCCCGTTTTGATGGCCGTGCTTTTTGCAGCCTAAGTTATTGAGTGGGTGCACAAAGTTTAGTGAAATGACTGGTCATTTAATCATTAAACTGCCAAAGTCTTTTATCGACTTATATAGACATGCTGTCGTTTATCCAAGCCCTATTGTTTTCTACTTCCCATAAAATATCACATTGATGTAAGCTGCACTTATGCTTTACAGCTTGCTGAATCTCTCATTGCACCCACAGTTGACATTAGCAGTGATGACATGAGCAGATGTTTCATCTGTGAGTCCTGCAAAAAAATTTCTTTGCTCTTATCATCTGAAGTATGAGCCTGTTCTATTTTTTTCAGGTTATTTATCTAAAAAAAAGCAGTGCACATTATTGAACCTGCAGGTTAGTGGGCCAAATTATGAGCTGGTTTCCATCTTTAGATACATCACAATCAAACAGACAGACATTCAACATAACAGGAGAAAGGAAAGAGAAAAAAAAAAGGATTTTCAAAGTCACATAGTTGTACCTTTAGAGGTATAAAGACTTGTCACTGCGGTCATTCCCTCAGACTCCTGCGGTGCCCTTGTACTTTTACTTTGTCCATTTACTAATTGGGAACATGCGTTTAGCTGTCAGGGCCTTTAACAGCACAAAAATGTGCCTTAGAGTCCAGTTATTAGTGGGATACATAAATTGAAAACATACCTCACGAGACATGAATGCACTCGTTTTTGCCACCTATTTCTGACTGTGCAGAGCTTAAAAGAGAAGACACATTTTATCTTGCTTTATAAAATGACTCTTTCAAAGAAGATGGTTTCGAGGTTGAAAAGCCTTTCGCTGACAGCGCAATTTCTCCAATTTTTATGTGCAGATACGGATGTACGTGGTGCGGTGGCTGTTATACTAATACCAGTTCCAGTTTTCTGTTGGAAAGAAACTCACATAAAGGAGGGGGTGCAAGTCTACACAGAGCTTGTGAGTGAAACAAACATGTGCAAAGTGAATAATAGTTGACCATACCACTCTTTTTTTACAGCAAAGAAGAAGAAGTGGGTGACTGAACAAGCTGTATTTGATGTTCAGGTTGTGCAATGTCCTCCATTTTGTTGAACAGCTTTTTGCAATAATCTAAACCACATCTGATTTGGACCTATCCTTATCTTCCGCTGTTTTTGGTCTAATTAGTGGCTGATATGTTGTGCGTCTTCCCCATTCAGTCGCTTAATCAAACCATTTCAGTCAGTCAGCTTAATTGTTTCCTCTCGGCCCTCTTTTAAATATAACGACAATAACTTCTCCTTTCACTACTTCTGTGCCCCAAAGGTACCATGTAGTAAACACGAAGCTGCCTTTCATTTGTTTGATTTATTTAATGGCCTTACATAGAAGTTTAAGCCCTCACACACAAATCGACTAAGAGTTACATGGTCGTGAATAAGCGGGACTCTTTCAAGTTGTGCCTAAACAGGACAATTAATCTCCAACTGATCAGCTGACAAAAATGAGGAAGCAGTGTGGGATCGGTAAAGCTTCTGAACTGTGGGTTGTATCTGTTTTTCCAATGTGTATTCTAGCATTTCGGCTCAAATGACAGCAAGATTTGATATTACATAACACTATCTGCTGTACATCATAAATCAGAGGTTGTGTGTACCTAATCATAAAAGACTTAGAAGGAACCAGAAGCATTTTTTTACATTAGAAATGTCATATTATGTCTGAAGTATCTCAGAACTGAAAGAGCTTACATTTTGTTCGCACGACAAGAATGAAAAAGGTTAATAGCAGCAGAACAATATGCTGCCAAAGAATAAGACGTCAACGTTCAATCTTTATTACAGAGATCTATAAATTGCATCACCAAGACAGGACGAAGAGAGCACGAGTAATCCAATAAGTGAAAACCAATACAAACCCCAAGGAGGAAAGTGCTGGTAATCACATTAACAGCGCTGTACGAGTGTGCTCTTTACAGTATGTGCAGAAATGATGGAAGACTGAAGGGGGATGAACTGCACACCTTCCAGATTAATTTCATTTCGGTCATATTTCCTGACATCAAGAGCAGGAACCTAGATGAGAAAATAAGGTCCTGAGTCCAAATGTGTAGAGACGGGGGCTGCTCGCTGCATTAACACCCCACGACTGAACACACAGGCCTGTGCAAACAGTGCTTTGAAGATTAGTCTCCAGTGTTTTGCTGTTCTACACAATTCTTTGAAGGCGCAGTTGCCAATCTTCTCTTTGAATGGAATGAGATTTGCATGAACGGTAGCAGAAACGTTTTTCTCCGCTGTTTATCTAATACAGATTCAGATAAGGACTACGAAAAAAAGAAGAAAAAAAAAACGGAGGGAGGTTGAGTGGTTCGGCTTCCAGCTCCCTCGCAGGCTTGCACACCGGATGCCATGGCTGGCATAGCACAGATGACAGGAGAGGTGGCTGGCGGCCGAATGCTGGCATACCTCTCTGCAGCCTTCTCCTCTTTCAGCCCAAAATTGGACAGCCATGTAATCTGACAATTAGCAACATTCCGCTGATTAATACTGTATGGGGAGCACAAGGAAAAACAAACACACATGGAGTGTCATTGAGGATGTTATTCGATGGGGTCACAGAGCTTCTCTCCTGTTTAACTCTTAAATGATATTTGGGAACATGCAAATATTTATTCTCTTTCAGCTGTAGTTATACAGCATGGTTTTAAAACCAACTTATCCGAGGAGCCAATGATGGTTTTTACGGCTCCATGATATTTGCATCAAAACATGGTTTTAGTGTTCATCTTCTATCAACAATTGATGAACCCGTAAATGACCAACCGTGTGAGCTTCCAAGAAGCAGCACGATGGCATCTGTGGCATATGGCAGATGTGATCTGTCTGCCAGGGTTTTGCTTTTGAAAAAAAAAAGTAGGCCATAATATTTCTTCAAAAACTAAAAAAAGCACAAGACAGCATAATTACACAGAGAATTTTAATTTGAAAATTTTTCCACAAAATTGCCATGCTTGTGTAAGAGTTCTGACAGACCATGAAAGTAGGATACAAGATATACAACTTACAGCATGACAATGATTAAAAACTAAAAATTAATCAAGGAAATTAAAAAATCTGCTCGCGTCATAATTTTCCCCCACTTCATCTTCCTTTCTGACACCACAAAGGTAAGTAATAAAACCAAACATTTATATAGATTTACCAAAGAACAAAAAAGTCCCTTTCCATATCAAAAGGTCACCTTAAAACATCTGCCAAACCGCCCTGCGTTGGGTTCTCATTTACTTATTTATCTTTATTAGTAAGACATTCAAACCAACCTTCTAACCAACCCTCTTCGGACTAATGCATGACAAGGGTTTGAATCAAGATCTGGTCAAACACAACCACTGCACAACTTAAAATGCTAAATTGATGTCCCTGGTGTGAATTATCAATAAGTGGATGTTAGTTTCTCACCTAATACAAAACTATTTTATTTCATCAGCCTTAATTTAACCAGTATAGTTTGATTCTGCACATTTTACCAGGCTAAAGGAAACCAGTAAACATTTAAAACCTGTTTAAGATCATTATGTTAGCAAGTGCTGTGTGTAAATGGTATCCATATGTGGTTGCACTTTAGCTAGCAGCAGTGCTAAACATATAATTGTTTGTATTGTTGAATAAGCAAAACAGAATAAAACACAATTTTCTATCCATCCATCCATTTTAGTAACCGTTTATTCCCTTAACCCAGTAGTCAATAGGCAAGAGGCAGGGTACACCTTGGATGGTCCACCAGTCCATTGCAGGCCCACACAGAGAAAACTAAAGACAATTTGTGGCCTTCATTTTTAAATTTCATGAGCTGATTTCAATTATTTTTCCAGCTTTTTGTTAGTCATGCTGTTAGTTGGAGTCTTACCCTATGAGGCATAATATGTATGGAAGATGGATGGATGTTAGTCATGCATAAAACCAAAAATAAAGAAGAATAAATTAGTAAAATAAAAATTCTCCCTTTCTAGAAGTGATGTCATGTTATTTTCAATACATTGGGAAACATTGGGTAGTGTGATTGTTTGGTTTACAATTAAAGTTAATGTTAGTTCCCCAAAAATCTTGTACGATGGAATCTTTTACATCACACAATGTAATTGTACATGGCCTTAGTGCTGCCAAGAAGTTTCAGATATTGGTATCTGAAAGATTTAGGGGAAGGGCTGGCATTTGGTTAAGCTCATGATCAGAAAGACCTCTGAGATACAATGATTTTTGTGGGCGAGAGACAGCAGTGACAATTGTCAAATCACACAAAGACAAACATGTAATCAAATAATATCAATATGCTTCAGTCAAAAGTGGGATGGTTGGTCGGCTGGGGGATGTGTCCAATTGGAAATGTAGACCAATCGATGAATGGGCAGCCTTAGGCCACCTCTTTGACAAAAAATATAGGATGAAGCATAGTCAGTGTTAGACTGAATCAGCAGGATATGTGCAGTGGGGGGGCAAGGATTAGTGCTGTTATGGGCTGTTAGTGTTAGCATAGATTGGGTCAAAAAGCAAACCTGAAATGGTCCACTTTGATCCAAACGATCCAGGCCCCTCACACAGGAAATATGAGCGTTCAAACAAAAGTTAGAATCCTTCACAAAAGTGACATGGCTGGAGTGTTTGTTTTTATGATTTTATTTTAAATATGTGGGATCTGTGTTTTATTTCCAACCCAAAGCGCAGTTGGTCTTAAGCTAATCTTCGTTACTTTTTTTTTTTTACTAGTTTTACAAAGTGTTTTGACACTTAACTACGTAACTTTGTAAGTTGCCCGGGGCAGCAACTCATGCTCTCTGCTTTAGACTTTGTTCCTTTGCAGGTTTTGGCATTCAGGAAGAGGGTGGCATCCCCTCCTCTCCCCAAATTCCTGATCAAACTCTCTCAAAGCTCAGCTCCCCTGTCGCCACAAAATCATCTTGCAATTCTATTAGACTGTTATTTATCCTGCTCATTGTGTCACTTGATCTGGTGACAGAGGCTGATCTATTTATGCTGCACCTTCATCCTTCTGTGAAGGGCACATCTCCCTGCCAGAGAATGCATAGGCCCCTCTTCTCCAGCAGAGTTGTCGTTTCACTATTTATCTTACTATAAATCCCATATTATATCCCTGATATGTATGGAATTTATGTAAATATTAGCAATTTCCTCACAGTGACAGCACGCGCTCATAAGAAATCTATTACCGTAACCCAGAAGTAACACTGAGGATGACTATTACATCTGTGGTTCATTGTTTTTCTACTGCTATCGATTTTCTGACCCGAACCTCAGCACTCTATTTTTGCCGTTTAAGGAGGCCAGAGAAGAAATCAATGACCTTGGATACCCATGAGAGGCCCGGGGATGAGTGGCGACAGGCCAGGATTAGCAAGTTTTCTTCGGAGTCGTAGCATTGGGGAAGATCAGCTGAGGAAATGTCAGGGTGGGGGCAATAGAGTGGAAGATTTATACAGGGAGAGCTTAACAAATCTTACTGAGAATTATGCCAGAATTAGATGGAGTTCCTTTGATTGAAAATGAAAGAAAGGTATTTACCCTTCCATCGGGACTGCACAAATTACTCATACTTTCAGAATAACTTTTTAAGAGAAGTGAAACGTAGTGTTCAGCACAAGAACAGTTAAGATAATAGAAGACTCAAGCACATGTGGTGTGGGGTGTGACCCCCAGTGTCAGGTTTATAAAACAACACCCAGTTGGGTGTATCCCTGTTTGCCTCTTCTTCTGAATATGTCTATTTTGTACCACTTTAAAGTGGTATTTATTAATTAGAATGTTTAATGTTATGATATTAATTCAGCTTACTGTGTATATATAACCTGACCATTGTTGGACTGGAGGATTAACCCATGAACCAGTGAGAGTAATAACTTCAGAAATAACCTGAGGATGTTTCAGAAAGATATTGAAGATTCAATGACTTTTCCTTGCGCGCCAACATTTATTAGTCTAAAAGGAAGTTTCCCTATAACATTATTACATCTTAAAGGAATATAAATCACCAACTATTAATCTACTTACAAAACAGGCAAAATTCCTACCAACCAGAGATCCAGAAAGCTTTTCAATACACCGCAAATGATTATTTAATTGTCAGGGGTCAGAAACAAAACAAAAAGCATTATTTCAATGATTGGCCTCTGACTGATAGATTATGAAACGGCTCCACAAAGATTGTGATTGGTTGTGCTTATCAGAGACTAATAGCTAGCCACACCCCTTGTGAGAAAATTGAGATCTAAACAACACTTGAAGCAGCTCCTAAGAAAAAAGAAGACTGGGCTTCAAGGTAAGAAACAAAGTAGGCCTGCATTTCTAATTGTGTTCTATGTATATATATATATACATACACACATACATACATGTACGTGTACTATATATATTACTATACTTTACTATATATACACATATATGTACTCTTTTAACTTTGAGTTAATCAATTTTAGGTAATGTAAAAATCAAACCAAAAGAAACACAATGACTTTTGCATCTGGGTATTCTTATGTTGCATTCATCATTTATTTTTGCTCACGAGCAACAGTGGCCCAATTCCGAGCACAGTACCGAGCTTTATTTTTCTAATTCTCTAATGAAAACTGCAGGCATTCATGTTTCTGGCAGCAGTCTTCGTTTCGTTCTTTTTTTTCGGGGGGGGAGTGGTAGGGGGGGCTACATGTTTTAATGTCATATGAAGCCCTAACAGTATTTCTTGTTCGCAAAATAATGAAAGCAGATGGCCTTGAGCGTGGCAGACAGAGCCATCGGGGCCATTATCGGGGCAGCAGTGGCAGATGCAGCAGGTAAGATAAACTGCGTGTATTATCTATCACAGAGTTAATCGGCTGCAGGGTTTTTTCACATTGCTCACCAGATCTTCCTCCCTCATTTCCACTGTCTAATTACCTCGTAGGCCTGTAGCCGTCATAGACATGTTTGATGATAATGTGTTCATTAACTGATTTTAAAACTTCACATGCGATATGTGTATGCTGTTGTTATTCTCTCTCTTTTTGGCTTTTTATGCCGTTTGTGATTAGACATCTTTCCCACTCTACGTTTGGCATAAGGTCTAATTTCAATCAGGTCTTTATTGAATGCGTAAAATGTGACAATGGAGCATAAGCTTTTGTAATGCGCATTAGAAACATGTGTTCTTGCTGATAAAGCGCATGGGCGGTGCCTTCATTTCTATGAGTCATGTTGACCCTGTACATGTTATGAAAAGTCTTGCTGAAACAGCTGTACTGATAAACATACGCTAACCAAGAGCAGGATGTGTTCTTATTACCGCATGCCAGTCTCAGTACACAATTTAATGCCACATAATGAACTAAACCCAATAATATATTTTTTAATATGGTAAGATACATAGTCCATTCCATTGAAATGTTGCATATTCTAGGCAATGTTCAACACTGGATGTTCCACTGTCTACTGTCGGTGTCATTCTTACTTGTATATTAACCAAACAGCCCAGCCTATGCACTGGATCTACAACCCGGACAGGCTGAAAGAAGTCCTCTCCGACCTGGAGCCATGTCCAGAGTTTCGGCCTCAGTCAGCAAATCCTTTTTATCGCAGAACAACAGGCGAGCAGACCTGCTACGGTGACCAGGCCTACATCCTGCTGGAGTCCCTGAGCCAGTGTGGAGGTACTGGATTTACCACAGTAACGGTGCACCATCCGCAAATGCTATATTTTCAGGACTCCATCAGTGTTGGAATTGTTTTGTGCAACATCAAGGGGATCTGTAGTGGGCAAAAATTCCTTCAAGATGCCAGTCATGGCCTTTAAATCTTTGCAGTAACAAAAATGTTTCTGTCGTGTTTGGCAGATGTTGACGTGGAAGACTTGACCAAGCGCATCTACAAGTTCTTTGGACCAGGAACAGTGTATGATCTGCCCTTGAACGATCCCTACAGAAAGAAAGGAGGTGCCATGTCTCTTCAAATGTCTATTACACCACACAACCCTACCTTGATGCGATTTCCATTTGAGTTAATCACCAACTTTACAGACCCAAGAGGATACGAGGGCCTCTGTTGTTTATCTGTGGGGCATGTTTTTCTTCCTGCTGATGGGCCGGTCCCTCTATGTAAAAATGTTCCATTCAGAAGGCCTTCCCTGTTCTTGCTTTATGTCCAGGACTTTGAATATATATCTATATATGTGCATGTATGTGCTATCAAGATGTCATGTAAAACAAAGGGTTTCGGTAAATTGCTACAGCACACTTTAGGGTCCAGTAAACTGGAGACAGCTTTATGTCTTGGAGTCAAGTTACGGGAGCTGTGTTGGGGTTTTGAAATACAATGAAAGAGCTCAACTCGCAGAAAAATCCATCCAAGAACATGTTTCTTTTTCTTCTTTCTTTATATTGTTGCAACTATTAGGCCCCAAAGTAACTCTCCCCATTGATGGGCCATGGCGGAACGGAAGCCTGAAGGCTTTCTTCAGAAACGTTGATTCTGGCAAAGAAGAAACTGGTAGAGAGCTCAGATCTGAAGCACCATTTCCACGTGGAGTCTCTACTTCCTGATGTTCTCAATTCTAATCTCTGTCAACTGTTTTTGAGGCTGTGAGGTGGACTGTCAGATGGACGGCATCACCAAGCTCGCTCCGGTGGTGGCCATGTTCGCAGGGAAACCCGAGATGCTGGAGAAGGTGGAGAAAGCCATGCGCGTCACCCAGAACAACGACATGTGTGTGGCTGTGACTCTGGCTGCAGCAAGGTAAAGAGCCACTGATACATTCCGACGATACGTACCGCTGAGTACGTATCAGTACCATCAGGGAAAAGAAACTCGACCTGCATGTTTGACTTTGTATTTCTGCAGATTTCTGGAGCATTTCATCCTAAATGGTCCTGACCCCAATGCTCTGGATAAAGTTCTTGCTCAAATGAATGACCCAAAGAGACAGAACCCTCAGGATCTGGATCGGTCCATCATTGGTAGGGCATTAATGTTCCTCCATTGTAAAACTGGTAGGAAAGTTTAGAAAATTGAATAATTTGGGGGTTTGATGGCACTCTGATATATGTAAAATAATCCTATATAAATATCAATTTACATAATTAATGGTGTACAATAGTAAAATAGGAGTATGTACAGTCATTTTTAACCATTAACAAGCAATGTACTTCTAGAAGAACTACATGTAATTGAAATTAAATGGTCTGTATGTGACCTGCTATCTCCAAAAAGCTGCTTTATTTCACAGAAAGCTGTGTTTAATCATTCTTCTGTGAATTACACAGGGTGAGAAATAGAAGAAAAGCATCATTGGATTTGAATCATGGACATTGCTGCTGTGTGAAATGAGCTGTAACTTCCATCCCATCAGGAAGTCTGTTGCGTTTAATTGCATTGAGCTAGAGTTACATTAAGGCTTGCGTCTCCTCAAGATGGTTTTTATGTTCTTATTTTTTTGCAAGTAATGCTGTCCAACTTGATTGACCAATTTGTATTTATATTTTGGATTTCCTATACATTTTTTATAAATATTTAAAAATGTGTCTTTAGAAAAACAAGTATCATGTTAGGAGACAGAAGAAAGTGGGCTTTGAAACGGTCGATGAAAGGTCAAGAGCTTAACTGTAAAACTTGCCTTTCCTTTTTTCCAAGCACAACTCACCCAGGTGAAAGACAACTTAAGCAAAGCATCTCGTGAGCTCATACCTGCTGTGTACACCAACACATGAGGTAAGTCAGTAGGTAGCAGCAGGAATCGGGTGTGCTTACCTTGCCTTGCCTGCATATTCTTCCTGATGGTGTATCTGCCTTAGATCCTCTAGTCTTTGACCTATCATGGCCCCCCTCCTTGTCCTTTTAATTTTCAACTAACTCATCCAAACTTAACAGTTGTAAAGAATTCTTCCTCAATATCTGCCCAAGTCTCATAAAGGTACTAAAGCTTAGCATAACCATGATGTTTTCATGCATAAAGGGTAGCTATTTCAGTTGGATTCCTTTTGCATGGATTTTAATTTGATTTGTGTCCAGCTTTGCCAGGTGCATTCCAGGGAGCGCTTCATGGAGTCCTGACACTGAACCAGCTGGATGAAGCTGTCAGGGACACCATGCGCTGCGGGGGGTGCACCGCCAGCCGATCCTCCTTCATTGGAGCCTGTTTCGGGGCACAGGTACCATCAGACATGTTGTTAAACCTGCCTTAAAGACGTTAAAGTATCCAAAATTCGAATTTATGTCATCTGTTGCCTGTATGACAGAAGTAAGGTGGGATTGTTAAGATACCTCTGTCCATTTTTCAGGCATGGTCTAGCATATGAAAGTAAAGAGTCTTCCTCAGGATGAGAAGGGCACAACTTTGAAGGACCAGTTTTATCAAGGAGACATTTTTGACTTTGTGAAACAGATTCAAATCAGATCAATACTAACTTAATCTGAATCCTGTGTTTTTTTTTGTTTAAAAAGGTTCTTAACTGTCCCAAAAAGTCCAAGTAGCAGTCATGACATGGGGTCTTAAAATCCTTTAAAAACAAAAAAAAAGAAATGTAATTCTTCATGTGTCATCCCCACCATGTTAAGGGACAGCAGACCTGTGTAAGAGTGTGTCAATTCAATAGAATGCAATAAAACACACAAAAGAATGTGAAAACAAGACATAATTGAATGTTCAATAAAAAACATATTAGTTTAGTACTCTGGAAAAAATAAGATTTTTATAAGCTAGGGCAGAGACATTTTAACCCTGTGTAGCTTCTTCCCTATTATTAGCAACTGTAAACATCTGTGAAGTAAAGAGAGCAGCTACTAGACCAAAGGATGTTGTCTCATTCTGGTAATATATGTGATTCTAGCTGTTCATCAATCCAGTCTATGCCTATGGATTTATCTTTTCTTTCCATGCGCATTTAACTTACATAATTGCTGACATTTTGTCCCCAGGGCCTTAGTGTATATCAATAAAAAATCAAACCGGTGTGACTGGTGGAAATAATGAACTGTTCTATTTTAGCTTCCCATTTTTAAATGTGAGTGAAATATTTATTTGAGAGATTTGCTAAGCAATGCTTTCTGTATTGCATGACATTTTACACCCCGCCCCACCTTTTGGGAGACATGAACCAATTCTCGTTTTCTGATTCACATGATGAATGTGCACTTGTACTATATTTGGAACTCCTTTGTTGAGTTTAACTGTGCACTCAGATATTCTGAGAGTTCTTTTGTTTCTTTATATATTTAATATATCATCTCAATGTAATTTCAGACCGGGCTCCATTGGATTCCAGAATCATGGAGGAAGAAGACATTACGATACCCTCTGCTGTTGGAGTTGGCTGAAAATGTGGTGAAAAAAAGTCAGTAGTCATTGTTCACCCTGAAAGTTGCCCTGTTTTTACCATGCATGTTAAGTCCTTTAATGCCGTACTTGTCATATTTGATACAATCCTTTCTCAATTTCACCCTTATATAGTCTCTATTTCTATAGAGAGTATAGTCTCTATACGCTGTTTAAAAAAGGATGGAATATAGAATATTTTCCTATTTAAATCCTATTAAATTTTCGTATTTAAATTTTGGGGAAAAATGTGCAGGGTGTTAACTTAAAAACACCGGTTTAAATTACATTTGTTTCTTTATTTTTTAAATGAACAAACAAAGAATTCAGGAAAGAAGTTAGTATTTTAAGCCTTTTTTGGGGGGTCAGGCTTTGTAGGGCTAGTACCAGCAGCACTGATAGGTGAACTTTTCAGCCAATTTAAAAACTTTCTCAAGTTACAGATGCAGTGCTTTGACACAGCAGTCTATGACAGTTGCATTCTAAAGTCTCGTGCAGAGTGAAACTTGAATCTGTATGTTCTGTCAAAGCCTCATTGTGTAAAAGTGAAGGTTTGTCCAACTTGTATACAAATAAAAACTTCCATGTTATCGACGTGTGGATGTGATTCTGTTATGTTCCGTGCAAAATGAGCAGCTGGGATGTCTGATCTCAGAAAACTGTTTTTGCTGATGAGAGATTTCAACAGCTTTCTGTCTTCTTGTTCTTTGGATTACTTTGTTTTTGTGAAATGAAAGGCAATGGCAGGCAGATTTAAAACTGGAACAACCTGAGATTGCAAATCCACTCGTGCCTCAGAGGAGCTGCATTGCCTTTTTTCTTTTTTTTAAAAAGCGCTGACTCTTATGTTCACATGGTTAAAGCATCCACCGCAACTGTTTTAAAAGTTAGCCAAGCAAGAAGGATCACTGGAGTCTGTCTATTTGATATTCTGTGGTCATAAAAATTGCAGAGTGAAGGCCAGTCAGCTTCTTTGAAGGCTGACTAGTTGAAAAAGATTTACAAACAAAACAAAACTGTACTTCAATATCAAAACTAAGACATATAGTGAATACAAGTAAATCAGTATTTTTATGGAAAGATACAAATAGTGAAATTGCACTTTAAATATATCACAAGAGCAAAATTTAGCATGAAACAAAATCACAAAACTGCAGTTTAAGAGTGGAAGACTGGAGCTGACAGCGCGTTGGAAGCCTTCAGAGGGGAAGTCATCTGATTTCTCCCTCTGCCTGACTTCCTCCCACACAGCAGGTAGCAGGGCCAGTTTGGCATAATTACAACCAGACCTTAGGAGTGTTTTTGTTTTTCTGGAAAATATGCGAAACTAAACTTCCTTGTGACAGCACCGTGCTCACCCCACAAGAATAGCACCACGGTGTTGTGCATTTATAAAAATGATCTGCAGGGGCCAGTCGACCCACTGCACAATGATGGCTTTACGTCAGTACGCAATTACTTCCATCAAAATGTGCCGTCTTATGGTAAATAAATAAAAAATAAAGTCCAGAATATGTCACGACAACTGTCAACAGTACACGAGGAGGAAGACAACCATATCAGATAAAAGAAGATTTCAAATGCATAAAAGAAAAGTATCCAATAACACACAGATTAGCATGGTGCCTTCACATTGTCCATCTATATACGTTATATCTGAATTAACTTTCGCTTTAGTTAATTGGAAACTTCCGCTACCCCTATTTTAAAATCTAACTTTTTTGGGGGGGGAGTGCACACGGCATTTTATCACCGTTTATTTAACAGTTGTTTATTTTAAGTGGTTTATAGCATACTATGGCAGACAACCAATCTATTTTATTCGTTTTGCACCAAACGTACACTCATTTGACTCCAATATTTCTGCGTGACGTGAACGCTCCAGCACATATCTGACGAAAAATGAGAGCAGGAAGCAAGAGATAAATACCCCACTTACTACCGTGTTCGTTTGGTTAAACGATACTGCGTCACTTTTAAATTGAATAGGAAGGGAGGACGCCAAACATGTTCGCAGATACTTGTAAGAGTTTGAATTACCGTGGCATTGATTTAAAATAAATTGTCTTAGTTGTATTAGGCTTATTTAACCAATTCTTGTTAGCATAATGCGCATGCGCAAAAGCCCGTAACAGCTGTCAAACTTGGAAGACGACGGGAACTATCTTGCTGTATACTATCTTTGTCCGAATCAACAGCTGGGTGGAACTCGGACAAAAACTTGCCTCAATGACATTTTCCGTGGGGATGGCAGTTTGGGTGTGAGACAAACCAGTTGCTGTTAAGACTTCCTTTTCACCTTTGTGCCATGGATTTTAACGTGAAGCGGCTCGCCGCGGATGCCGGCACTTTTCTGAGCCGCGCAGTGCAAGTAAGTTTAACCGTCTATAAGGTGAAAGTTGTTGCTAACCAACTTTAGCAGCTAGCTTTACCATTTCGATAGCTTTAGCTCGCCTGCCAAGGAGCTAACGCTACCTCGGCTATTTCTGTATAGATAGCAGCCCGCTACCTTCAGAGAGGAACAGTATTAACCACTACGTTAGCTCTGGTAACATTATAAAGCGTTTGGGAACAGTGATATTTCCGTTTTAAGCACAAGTTACGTTACTATTTAGTTGATCCGCACAACCGTCACTTGCAGGCCTCAGAATCCATTTAAACAAAGCTATCAACTGCAGATCGCCAGATAACTTTAAAGTGTGATGCCATATCTCCCATGACAGCCCGAAAGGAAAAGTTGATTTGTGAACCATGTGGCACCAAGCTAAACGTACACACGTTAAAATAAAATTTTCCCTCTCAGTTCACAGAAGAGAAGTTTGGTCAGGCTGAGAAGACAGAGTTGGATGCCCATTTGGAGAACCTTCTGGTCAGAGCTGAGAACACGAAGCAATGGACTGAGAGAATTATGAAGCAGACAGAAGTCTTGCTACAGCCCAACCCAAGTAAGAGCACCTTTAAAAAAAAATACAAAAAAATTATATTTCATGCAATGAACTTGAATACAGTGATGTTACAGATGCTGCAACCGTGGTAACCCATCCTCTAAATAAATGTTGGGAGACTCTTTGCCATGTTTCCCCCTGACTTCAAGTCAAGACAAGCTACATCAACCACAAATTCAAACCCATTCATCTTCCTCTTTGCAAGCCTGACATTTGTGGTCAATTAGTGATGTTACTTCTGGAATTTGAGGGCTGGTCTGAACGCTTCACTTCCAGGGCCGGATCTTGTTGTGCAGTAGAGAATCCTAAAAAGTGCCCGCTGTTTGGAGCTGTTTTTTATTCTTTTGCACTAAGGTGTCCCTCAGAGATGTGTTTGACATACACCAGCAGGCTGGGTGTCTGGGATAGTGTGTGAGCTCAGCTGCGTATCCTCCTCGGTTCACACCATGATGCCGCACCGCTGCAGCAATCGGCACAACAAACACAGGCGGACCATCTGGTGTTTGCAGCTTTGTGTGACTCCTGCTCTCTGACATGGAGGAACGTGACCCGCTCGGCTTGTCGTGCGTTAACCTGAAACACACGGCTGTGGGGGAATCGTCGGAGTTCTTTCACGCGGCGTGAACTTCCTCTCTTTTCCCCGTCTCCACTTACATTATGAAAGAGTCTGTATCAGTCGGAGACACTGGGGCGGCTGTTCATCGGACCACTTCTGAGGACACTCCCTGCGCTTGGATCCCTCACGGTAGTCTCATGACTTTGTAATTGAGTTTTCCTGTTCTGTTCTTTTTAGATGTCCGACTGGAAGAATTTTTGTATGAGAAGCTGGAGAAAAAAGCCCCCACGCGGATGAACAACCATGAGTTGTTGGGCCAGTCCATGATTGAGTCAGGAAATGAATTTGGCCCAGGAACTGCCTATGGTGAGTGTTCAACTGATGTCTAACATGCTGAGGACACTTACTGACTCCAGGGGAAAAGGCTGTGACATGTAGACTATATTTTGCCTTTTCATGTTGGGGAAGGGGGGGGAATTTTTACCCATTTACATCCTGAGGATGGTAAGGCAGCTTAGTCAGGATAGATGTTTGACAAACAGCCCTGCACTGTAATGTTCTTTAGTTTATGCAACAAACGAGAGGGCTGAAATCTTCTTTTCTCAAGATAAAGTTGTTGTTTTTTCTTTCTTTTTTTGTTGGCCAAACAAGCAGAAAACAGTAGCTTTAGATTCCAGTGGTCTGACTTTAACCAACACTCCTCTGCTTTGTGTTTAATTATCACCAACATCCTCTGCCTCAATCCGTTTCAGCTGTCTCATTTCTCAGTTGTGGGCGAGGCTTCTATTGACTGTGTACAAAACACAATGTAGAAGTCCATCCAGTTCAGTTTTTCTTTGCTATCCAACAAAATGGAATCTGAAGGTACACCATGTAATGAAGGGAAACGATTCTTTGTGAAGCCCAATGTCCCCTCCAAGGTTTCAGGTGACAATAGGATGAGTAAAATGAGGGGATTTGGCCAATTTGCTCAGGCAGAACCTAAGATACTACAAATCCAATGTCACACACAGCTGAGTTTCTGCTCCTGATCACACGTTCTTTTGTGAAAATCGGCCAGTGAAGATGTGTCCGGTCACAGCAGCTTTGATCAGCCCGGCCTGTCACTCTGGTCTGTTCGGCATCAGCCATTTAAAGGCAGGCTGACTAACATGTGTGAAAATCTCCCTCAGAAGGACTTCTTTCCCTAAAGCAAGTCCTAATCAGCTTTACTACTGTGACCAAACATGAGATATAACTGGGCTGATTTGGTTGGAGGTGTCAGTCTCTTTAGAATGGTTTCCTGCATCATGAGGGCTGAATTCATGTTCCCTCTGCTGCCCTTCACAGGAAATGCTCTAATAAAATGCGGCGAGACGCAGAAGCAGATTGGCGGGGCGGAGCGGGAGTTCATCCAGAGTGCCGCCATCAACTTCCTGACTCCTTTCCGAAATTTCCTTGAAGGCGACTTTAAAACCATCCTGGTGAGTTGGACCGCCAGCTCCAAATCAGCGTAAAACTAATAAGATCAGCAGGGTGTGGGCAGGTTAAGCCACAGTGACTCTGCCTGCTCACTGGGCCTAATGAATGTAATTCGTGTCACATGAGAAGGAATTCCTGAAAGAGAACATATAGGAAAGAATGAAACCAAAGAGTAGTTTTTTACACTGTGGATCAGATTCTTTTGACCTTTCTAAACCTGAGACCCCTTGTGATGAAATGTGTCAGACTCTGTCCTTAAAACTTGTCCCAAAGGAAATTAAATAGCCTGCCAAACTCCCCAGTTATGAAACTGACTGTTCAAAGTGAGGATTCTGTCTCTCTGATGTTATGATTTTCGTGTCCAGAAAGAGCGGAAGCTCCTGCAGGTCAAGCGCCTGGATCTGGACGCGGCTAAGACCCGGGTGAAGAAGGCGCGCTTGGCTGACGCCAGAGCAGCGGTGAGTGGGCCGAACGCGGGGCTTTGCATCCGGCCTGCTTTTTGGGCCAGATCTGCTCCTTTCTGGCCTGCTTCCAGTTCCTCAAGTCACACAAGTACAACCGTCACGCCACGTTTCGCAACAAGGAGTGGTCCATTTTCCTCCTTGCAGCCTGCGTATGGTCACATGGGCTAACATGGAAAGTTTTAGAGTTTCCTTTTTCCTCAGATGTTTTATTAAATATAGAAGGTTTATTTTTGTGTGGCATAGTTTTCCATCCAGTGGGAAAGCAGAAAAGTGACTTTACACTCAAGCGATTTAACACCTCTTATGTTTTCTGAATGCCTTAAGTGGCTTTCGTCACAAAAGCCACTGCTGGCAGCTTTTGTCGGCCGCTCCGTGCTGGCTGTGCGGCAGCTGTAGCTCTAACTACTGTGTCACTGTGTGTGTGTGTGTTTTTTTTGTTTTGTTTTTTTTAAAACGCAAACCGCAGATGTGAGCAGAGGAAGTGACAGAGGTGAGTGGAATGTGGGAGCCATCTTTGATTTGAACACGCACACATGCAGAGCCGTAAACCCCCTGGTGGTCGTGCAGACAGCTGCTCTCTCCGTCTCTCTCTCTGATTTTGTCCATGTTGCGTGCCGTCCTGTCTCATCGAAAGCTTGTGTAGGCAGACCAAACAGACGCTTCCCATCACACACCACTCTTCATTCTCTTTTCCTGCAGAAGGTTTCAAACCGAATCTGCCAACTACATGTGCAACAAAGGAAACTTTTATTTTAATTTATTTAATTTTATTATTTTATTTATTATTTATTTTTTATTTATTTTCAATCCAGGCCCATAAAGATTACATAATTCCAAACATCACCATTAATGAACCCTTTCATTTAATGACCCTTCTATGTAGTTTTATGAACGGTTTTAAAAAAATTAAATGGGTCTAAAATCTAAAAAAAAAACAAAATACATCTGAGATTCCAGTGTGGCAACGTTGACTTATATTGACATTCATTAAGAATTTAACTAATGGATGCAAGTTTGGTTCATTCACCACCTAATGGGAATGTTTTTTTTCTTTAAAAAGAAAGACAGATCTTTTTCGATTTGGTTTCATTAAGATCAGTCTGATGTTTCTTCGTTCCCAGGCGGAGCAGGAGCTGCGGATGACCCAGAGCGAGTTTGACCGGCAGGCCGAGATCACCCGCCTGCTGTTGGAGGGCGTCAGCAGCACCCACGTAGGTCCCCCCTCAGAAACCGAGCACACAGCATCAGAGAAAGGAGCGCTGCCGCTTCCTGTAACACTCTGGAATATTTCTGCTCAGCCAGTTCGCGAAAAAATCTTCTCGTCTTTTTCTCTCGTGCTGTACCAGGCGCACCACCTCCGCTGTTTGAACGATTTTGTGGAGGCACAGACGACGTACTACGCTCAGTGTTACCAGTACATGGTCGACCTTCAGAAGCAGCTTGGCAGGTGAAACGCTCTCTCTAAAAACCTCCCCCAATTCCAAAGTGCAGATCGAATCCTTTCTCCCGGGCCCGTTTGATGCCGTTTCGAAACTTCTGATAAAATCAAAACAAAAGCCAATTCACGCGGGTCAGATCAGACGAATGATGGAAAATGACTAAGAGTGACTAAATAAAAGTGGGTCATGCCGATGTGAGATAAGACTCGGCTTGCTCTGCAGGCTGCAGGTTGCCACGGCGAGCACAAAAAAGCACGCCGTTAGGGCCGCTTCCTGTTCTTATCTCCCTCCCCTCCCGCCAGCTTCCCCTCCACGTTCTCCAACAACAACCAGTCGTCCGTGTCGGGCGGGGCCAGCATCTCCGTGCCCACCATCCCGGTGTCGGCCGCCATGCCCAGCGTGTCAGCGGGCCGCAGCAGCTCCACGGCGTCGGGGGGATTCAGCGAGCTGCGCAGCTCCAACGGCAGCCGCAAAGCCCGAGTCCTGTACGACTACGACGCCGCCAGCAGCAGCGAGCTCTCCCTGCTGGCCGACGAGGTCAGCATACACCCACACCCCCACCACCATCGGTGCTTGACTTGGTAGAAACCGGTCGGGGTGTCTTTTATGTTTATGTTTATGCATTTGGCAGACGCTTTTATCCAAAGCGACTTACAGAGTAGACACAATATTACATTTCTCATCACTATGACAATAAGCTATATAGAGGAGAAACACTGATCAGAGTCAGTGGTGACAGCAAGAGATCGAGGTAGAGGGGACCACAGAAGGAGTTGTGGGGGGATAGAGGTACGGGTTAGGATTAGGACAGGAGATGCTCTTCGAAGAGGTGGGTCTTCAAGAGTCTCTTGAAGACAGACAGGGACTTTGCTGTTCTTGTAGCGCTTGGTAGGTCGTTCCACCATCTTGGAACGACACATGCAGACAGTCTGGATTGTCTTAGGCGTGGTGAAGGCACTGCTAGACGACAATCCATTGATGACCGGAGTGATCGAGTTGTGACATAAGCCTTTGCAAGAGGATTCAAGTAGATGGGAGCCGTACCCTTAAGCACTTTGTAGGCTAGCATCAAGGACTTGAATTTGATACGGGCAGCCAGAGGTAACCAGTGGAGTTCAATGAACAGAGGGGTGACGTGAGATTTTTTTGACCAAACGCGCCGCCGCGTTCTTGATCATTTGAAGCTCATACCCACTTTGGTTTTTACCATCCATACAAGTATAGATGACCTTTGTTGGAACTTTTCATCCTACATACACTGAACCCATCCTGTTTCTGGTCTTCCCAGGTGATCACAGTCAGCAGCGTTCCTGGCATGGATTCCGATTGGCTGATGGGGGAGCGCGGCAGCCAGAAGGGCAAAGTGCCAATCACCTACCTGGAGCTACTGAACTGAGACCCAGAGGCCCGCCTCCCCCAGCAATGTGCACCCAGCTGTGATCTCCTATTTATACCACGTTTCAGAGACGGGCCTACCCTTCCCATCCGTTTAGTAGGTTTAGCGTCGTTTGTGAGAAAGGAGTCTGAGATGCGTCAGACGTGAGGTGGAGTGAATAAACGCTAGTGAGGGGAACGCAAACGGACCCATTCCCTCATTGTATGCAAAACATTTCTAATACCTGCTTCCATTCTTTATGTGAAATATGTGCCTGAGCATCTCCCAGTAACTTTAAAAGATTGTATATTGTTTACAACATATTAACTCAGATGGTGACCTAAAAAAATGCTTTTGATGCCAGTTTGTTTTTTTTGTTTTCTCTTGCTGGCGACAGTTTTTTGTAAGAAGAGGTAAAAACATATTTTGTTAAATTGATGAAAGAAAAAGCACTTCAGTTTGCAGTGAAACATTATTTTTAAAGCTTGTTTTATAAGTGATAATCTGAGCAGTAGCTGTTATGGTTATCCTAAATATGAATTGTATTCTAGCAGTTTTTTTTAGCATTTTCAAGTCTTATTTGCATGCAACCGAACTGGAAGGCGAACTCAGCACGTCGCTGAGGGAAAAAAAAAAGAAAAAAGGAAGCCAAGCATCGATGAAATGTGTCAAACGGCATTGTGCCTTTTAAAGTTTGCAGCTACGCCAGCAGTATTGAGATTCTCAGGTCAGCCTCCCACTAAAAGTGGTGAAGCCCCTTCCTCCACCCACTTGTCTTCACGTCGGCCAAACGCTTGTGAACCAGGCTGTCTGTCATTTAAATGAATGCAATGCGTATTATTCAGAAGTTCTCACAATATTTATTTATCTGGTTTTATGAGCTTCTTGACACAAAATGAAAAAAACCCAGATTTCTTTACGAGATCAATACCATCCTCTGGTTGCCTCTGAACTTGCATTTTATAGTTAATGTAGAATTTTGTGCCCCCCCCCCCAAAAAAAAAAGTAAAATTACATTTCATGCTGGGAGATCTAAGTATATCATTACACCTCTGCTTTTTACGCTGCGTGTAACTGATATGATTGCATACAGTTGTAAAATAAACAATTTAAACATATTTAGGGGACTCTGTGAGATTCTTGTGACTGTGAATCGAACTGCTCCAACTGGGCTTTTATGCTCTCCAATAGGACCACTGGAGGGCAGGAGAGGCAACACCATCGACTGAACTGTAACAAAAAGCTGTTTGGATCAGTGAAAATCATAACCATGCTGTTTCTGTTCCAAGAGCAATTAAATAAGGCAAAAGCAATGGAAAAAATAAATGATTAAATGAAAGCAAACCCCGAATGGCATTCAATAAACTTTGAAATAATGCGCAGATTTTAAGAAATGAATCGAACATCTTAAAAGAATACAGGAGGTATTCACAGAAATGTTTTTTTCAGAGTGATGCATCCAGAGCAATTTATAATCCAGTTAACAGTTTTTTCATTATAAGACTTCATTTTAAACATTAATGGCTTATAAACAGGGTTCTGTTTAGCTATTCATCTTAGATTATTTGATCCAATGCACATTTATTTGTCTTCAACCAACAGTTTAGCCCTCATCCTGGTTAAACCAGTGTAATCTCCTTATCTGTGCCTGTCACAAGTGCAGGAAAGGTTTAGAGGAAGTGAGTTTTGCAAAGCTCCTGGTGACTAAGAAGCTGCCTACCTCTTATTTCATTGGACTGCTTTTTCGTATGGCCATTGGCAAAGCTTACATTTTAACCTTTACCGACTTTAATGCCACCAAGTTTCTGTTGAGAAACGTTTTCTGGTAGCTCAAGAGCAGAAGAAACACCTGGTTTGTGTAAAAAATGGGGCTCTTTGATCAAAAACGGACACCAAACCAAAGCATTGCAGGAGAACTGAGTTCAAACAAGACCTTTACTGGTGTAAGTCACATTGTTGGGGTGATCAAACCATTTCAGAAGTGGACCGTTCTTTTTTTCCAGATAAGGTTCTTCAGTTTTGTATCAGTTAGTAACTCATTCTCACTGATGATGAGAGAAGCGATTGCATGCTTGAGAAAAAGCGCTTCCTCTTTCTTCAGTCCCTTTTCTTTCAAATGTTTACAACTGAAAAAACACTTGACATCTGCCAGCGCATCTTAAAGACTCTTGAGGAAGCCCTTGAAGTTGCTGCAGCAGAGGATGTAGATAGGGAGAAAAAAAAAACTGTGTGTAATCAGGTTCACATCAGGTGGCTGAATGCATGAGGACGTGTGTGAGAAAAAAGGTGGCTTTTACCAGCTGCATGAAAATAGCCCTTTACAACAGTTTACAGCCATTCTGAATAAACGTTGAGATGTTTTCTTTTTCTAGCTATTTTTAAGAATCATTCTTGTAACTAATGTAGCATACTACTGTGTAGAAAAAGGTAACTTCCCATGCAGAACTACATATAGTTTAGCAAGCTAAAAAGCAAGCTTAAAAAAATAAAAATTATATATATATATATATATATATATAGAGTATAAATATGTGTGTGTGTGTGTGTGTGTGTGTGTGTGTATATCATGATGAATGATCATGATGAATGAAATGTTCCAGTTAAAAATGTTTATCTATCACACAGTGAATGTGTGGAGAGCAGAAAAAGACTGCTCCATGGAATTAAAAGTCATTAACCCATGGAGGTCTGAATCAACCGAATCATATTCAAAGTAGAAGTGGAGAGATCAGATCACAGCCTGACCCCATTTTTGAGAAAATCCTTCATGACAGTTGACAGAATGAGGGTCAATCGTATGATTGGCCTCCATGTGTCTTTATGCACTCCCTGATAAATGTCTGGGCTTGCCCATCATGAGATGACAGATGTTCTCTTGAGGGTTTTTCCCAGACCTGGATCAGGGCATCAGTCAACCCCTGGACAGGCTGCGTGGCAGCAGTGGATGACATGAAACATGATGCCCCAGAGGTGTTGGATCGGATTCAGGTCTGGTGAATGGGTGGCCCAATCCATAGCACTAATGCATTCATCATGTACCACATCTGACACACTCCAGCCACATGAGTCTGAGTTATATTCATGAATCAAAAGGAGCACAGGTCCCTTTGCAGCAGCATATGGTCTGACAGTGGGCTTGGGGGTCTTATCCTGGAACCTGATGGTAGTCGGGGTACCTCAGGCTAGCATATGGATGTCTGTGCAATCCTTCAAGGATGTGTTTCCCCCAGACCATCGCTGGATGATGTTGCAGGCAGCGTTTCCAGACTTTTTCACACTTCACATTTTCACAGCGAACATGTTTATCATTTTAAAGCCCCCCTAAAGCTACACTCATGGTACCAAGTTTTAAATGGACAAACAACAAGGGTACAAAAGCGGCACCACCCCAGGATGCCGCCCCAGTGAATAGTTTTTGCCCTAAAGGTACATATGGTTGTTTTCTTTTCTGAGAGTGTAGCGGATGTCGGGCCCTCTTACCACCCCCGTGGAGTTTGTTTCATGAGCAGAGCCGTGCACATTAGTGGCCCGCTGGAGGTAACTGTGGGGGGCTCGGACAGTGCATTCCTGTTCTTCCTGGCACAAAGGGGTAGATAGAGGGGCTGCAGCTGGGTTGTTCTGTTTGTACAACAGTTTGGAACTGGTTCAAAATAAGTGTTACTTCTTTTTTTTTCTTTTGAACAGTGTATGAATATTTATATACGTGTTTTTGTGCGTTAAATTGCATTCTTTTCACCCACTGTGAACAGCTTCAATCTACCTATATGATGTTTTATTCAATTGAAGGTTTTGTTGAACATAAACTTTGTTCAAACTTGGTCTTTTACCATCATCTGCAAAGTGGAATAATAGCAGATGTCACATGAGGACCATAGAGAAAGATTTACTTGATATTGTACCCACTCTGTGGGTGTCACACACATGACTGAGAGCATATGTGTGACTGCAGTCTACTCCCAGCGGAAAAGATGTTAGTTTCACAATGCGCACATGTAAAAACTTTGGTACTACATGACAACGTATCGATTTACTTAACTTTTCTGTTTTTTAGCCTGACTCTAGCCTGACTTTTTTCATGAGTCACAACGGGGACAATTTTATCCCTTCAATGCATCTATTTAGGAAAAGGAATTAAAAAAAAGTCATTATTATATTACTTTTTTTCAGAAACTTACTATTTAGTGATGTGGATCAATGTAACCGCTTCACTTTAGTGAATGGATTAAGGTTGATCCTATGGCACTTCCAACAAAGGCTGGATGAAACCAACCCTGTCACAGGTAATTGATACGTTTATTGTCACCACACCACCACAATAAGTCTAATGAGGCTTGGACATACGAATATGATTAGATCACTACTCAACAACAGTATACACATTCTGTCTTTAGATTCTAATAAGAGGAAATAATCAAACTGGCCTGCCATCTGACCACAATCTTAATCTTTTTTTACATCCATTCCACTTGCTCACTGAAAGTAAAACAAAAACTTTTATATGAAATGTTGCTCATGGGGGTTATGTTGTTTGAGTTGTTGTGTGAGTTGTTAAATGTGCCTCCTGGTTGTGCAGCTCTGCTCCTGTATTTACAAAAGCAGCATTATCTAAAAACATAACATGTCGATAACCTAAAGATCTGTGCAGCCACAGTGACCTCCCACAGAGAAAGTCAGGGGCGAAAAAGTGTCTGGAATATTGACCCCACATGATTCAAAGCCGCAAAGTCCCAGATTTACTTTATTAATGCTTAAACTCACCGACCAACTACTTTACAAACCCACTTAAAAATACAATGACAATTTAAAAAAAAAGAAATCAAATCAAAGAATCTTAACAAAAGGCATGTCAGTACAATTATAAAGAGGCTGAACATATAGGGCTGAGATTTCCAAAGTTTCCTCTAATTGTACCTAAAACCTACTGTGGCTACATTGAGAATAAGTTCTAAACATAGAAATTTAATGAGGCTTAACCTGACATCATGTTCCCTGAAAACCAACAAAACCTAACAGACACCCCATTCTAACTGTCAAGAGCAGAGGTTAGGGTGTGATGATTTGGGCCTTACTTTTGTCACAACTCAGACCACCAGTAATTCCTCTGAGTAACAAAAACATTTTCCGCAAAATTCTGAGCTGCGACAGAATGGCCAAAAAAGAAACCAAAGTTTTCTTTGTAGAGGCAGATGTCCAGAAACTTTGTCAAATTGAAAGAAAATCGTACGGAGTCAGCCAAAATTCCCCCACATGATGAGATACTGATTACATCACACAGGTCATTTGAAGTCATTTTAACTAAAGTTAGTTCTATCAGCTGATAAATGATGGGAAATCAATAACAACCTAGTTGAACACGTCGTGTATTGTTCTTTGGAGTTACTATTTTCCTGGCATGAACCAAATGATCCTGCCAAGTGGAAACCTTACAACGGAGAGACAATGTACCTTCTTTTTCTAGATTTTAGCTGACGAGTTGCTCAATACGCGCCTGTTGCCAGAATGAATGTCATATGACCACTTTACATATAATTTCACTTCTCCATGCTCATTTGCATTTATCTCTGAGAAGCTGGAACTCGCTACTTTAGAAAGAAATAACCAAACACTCAGGCACTATTTTTATGCACCCATGCTTGCCTTTGTGCTTTTTTTTGGTAAGTCAGCTCAAGTTAGGACATCATCGCCACAGCTGGGCAGTTTTTCAAAGAACTGCAGCCCAATTTTTTCACCTCTTGTATCGCATTTACTTAGAATATGCATTATGAAATCAATTTACTGCATATATACTGTACGTAAGCTTGCTTAGAAAATGCGTTTCTGCAACTACTTTTGTGTATGTCTTCAAAGATATTTTTATAAAACCCTTTTTTTTTGTGCTTTTTAGCCAATAAAGCTGAGCGATCAGATTAAATTCCTCTTGTCAATTTTGTTTCCATCAGCAAAGTGCCTTCCTCAAATACTTTTATAAGCCACAAGTTCCTTCTTATTGTTATCAACCCATCTTGTCAGAGCAGCATGAACACTTGATCACACTACACCCGCTTCGAGCATCCTGTAAGTTCCCCCAAACTCTTTAGTTTAATTTTGGCCGCAGCTAATTTCCTGATAGAAACTGAAAACCCCAATGTACACCCTGATATTTTGTAGTATTTTGCCTCACAGTACGTTTACAACTGACAGATATCTATCAGAATGACTCCGGTGCAGCAGGATCAGACAAAGTTGACACATCGTCAGGATAAATTGAGATCCAAACTAAAAACTTTCCAATTGTGAGCGTCTTTTCCACATCGGTCACCAGCTGCTGCCCGGTTGTGAAGATATTTTGACATCTTTTACTTTTTTGAAATATTTTTTAATCTTCATGCACTCAAAACGTGCAAAAATGTTTTGATTGTTGCTAACTGCTACTCGTTTTTGTTAATGGTATGTAAAAAAAAGATGACATGATAACGGTGTATCTAGGTTTTGACGATGCTTCGTTCTGGTTTCTCTTTTTTTGTTGCAACCACCATGACCCTGAGCATCACCACAGCGGTATTTTGGTTACTTTCTGGTTAGTCCCCTGCGCTTTGTGCGAGGCAGATCTGCCAGCCTATTCACCTATGAGCAGCTAAACACATGGCATGCAAAGGTTGAGAAATGAAAAGCTTTACACAACAATCATATAGAAATGTTGTTTAATTTCCATGATAATCAAAACCTTTGAGCAATACGTGATAACTTATTCAGTTAATAGAAGTTGTGTGGGAGACTAGGTTTACCAGAATTGGTGTGCAGGTTATGACCAACACATCACGGGACAAATTGGAATCTCATGTTGATGATGAATCTTTGTCTCTGATGGGAAGGAAACCGCAAACCCCTCCTCTTTAAGATACAGAACTGGGCAGTTGCTGCACATCTTTGCAAAACAGGAAATTTCATGTTTCCTCTGCTGCTTATAGCAACAACTTGCATCACACTACTTCTGCATATTGGCGCACGCACACACACACACACTGACACAAACACACGTCCACACACAAACACACATCCACACACAAACACACACTCACACCAAGTCCCACAAGCACACGGCCACATTTTTACATCGTGGTACCTGGATTATGGCCTGGTTTTGAACCACAATCAACGAGTGATGTGAGAGACAGAGCACTGCATCTGTTTGAATATTTCAAAGACAATTTTGCAATCAGTTGAATTTATTTCCTAAGTCCATTGGAAATACATCCCCCACACCTAGTAATGATATACCGCACAAATCCTAGCTGTGTTCAGGGTTTATAAAGTATCAGTAAGAAGTAGGTTTCAAATATTTCTTTTTGATGGATTTCTGTAGCATTTTCGGCTTGAAGGTTAGAAGTATGATAACAGAGATACCTAGTAAAGAAACAAACACAGGTACAAACAGCAGAATGTAGAAGAGTATTGTATCTCGAGTTTCCAAACACAAAAATGATTGGGAGTTTTCTATACTGTGCGTCACTTGGAAGAGGTCTTCACACTTGATTTTTGATAGTTCAACTATGTTGAGTGTCTCTATTGTTTCAAATGTCCTGAACCATTCAGTTTGGCAGCAATTGAATGGATTTCCTGTGAGGAAAACAGTTTGAAGCTTTGAGGCAAGGGCAGAAGCCTGACCAGATGGCATAGTCGATAGTTTGTTGTCTCTCAAGTCAAGCACTTTCAGGTCAGTATTTTGAAGTGAAGGCGGGAGATGGGCAAGAGAATTCCTCGAAAGGTTTAAATACTTAAGACTCTGGAAATCTGAGAAGTCAAGGTCTTGTATTTGTGTGTTTCCTAAACCTAGATGCTGCAACGTCCTGCTCAAACTTTGCAGTGAGTTTTGGACAACGAGTCCGGGGTTATCAGACAGTTCTAAGTGTGTTAGTGATAACGCTGTAAATGCGGTGGATGGGATGGCTTTAAGGTGGCATCCTTTCAGGTAAAGCTGTCTCAGGGAAACAATATTCCTCCAGTCCACACAAGCCGGGATAGCGTCCGTGCTCATTTCCACATCATTGGAGAGGCAAATGTTAACGTTGTTGTAGCTGATGTCGACTGACCGGATGCTCTGGAGTGAAGAAAATAATCCAAAGGGTAACTCTGTCAGGCCATTGAGGCTCAGGTTAAAGTATGTCAAATTGCCAAGAGAGGCAAGCGTGCTTTCATCAGCAAAGATCTGACTCAGTCTGTTGTTACTAATGTCAAGCTCAGACAGGGTTCCAGAGAACTGCTCTGATGTAAGATTTAGGGTTTCCAGGCAATTGGAGCTCATGTGAAGTGACGATAGGAACGGCATATTTTTAATAAATCCTTCAGGGAAATATGTCACTTGGTTTCCTCTTAGATCTAAAACCTTCAGAGCAGAAACATCACCAAAGAGATCATCATTCCACAACTGAGCGGTTACATTACTGCTGTACTGGTTCACATTAAAGAACTCAACAGTCGACGTTGAGTTTGGGTACGAAACGTTGTCCGCCAAATGTTTATAGAAACTCACAATGTTGTGGGACAGATAAAGGTTGCGCAAATTGCCCTTGCTGGGCAGAAAAGGGAAAAATAAGAGTTTGTTATTGGACAAGTCGAGAGTCTCTAAATGGAAAGTGCTGTCCAGCTCTTGTCTCGAGATGAACCACTCGATGGCGTTATGGCTGACGTTGAGAAAGACCAGCTGGGTCATGTGAAAGTCGGTCAGACAAGGCAAATAGTTGAAGGCCAGGTTGAGTCGCTGGAGTTGTGCGTTGCTGTCGAAGGCGCCGTCGATTTCAAATATTATGTTTCTTTGTAAATCCAGGTCTTTGAGTTGGTGGAGATCCCTGAATGAATTCTCGTCCAGTCTCCTCAGGATGTTCCCGGAGAGACAGAGGTGCTCCAGGGATGTTAGATTTTGAAGAAGCAGGGAAGCCATTTCATTGTCAAGCTTGTTCTCAGATAGATCTAGAATCCTAATACCGGGAAGCTTTCTTAATGCAAGGCCTGTTTCTTGATAGCCAATGTTAAGATTATTATTTGTAAGATTCAATCGTTCTAACAATTTTGAGCTTTCAAAGGTGTTCGATTCTATTCTGACCAATCTATTAAAAGCTATACTCAGGGATTTTAGTGAAGGATAACTTTGAAGAGAGGTGTCCTGTAGTGTTTCAATATCATTGTAGTCAAGCTGAAGGGTCTCTATGTCCGACCGGTGGCTTTCCGGTACGTTTGAGAGCTTGCAGTTATTGCAGACAGCCGTTCTTTCTGCCTGTAAAGAAAACAAGAGCATGTTAACTTATGTTTGTGCATTGTGTTCCTATGGGAGGCAGTGTAAGCTTGTGGTTTGTTGGTTTTTTAGAAAGACTTGAAAAAATGTATTTGTAATGTGCACATTTGGATTTTCAAAAACAATTCTGCACAACGTCCTTACTGTATTATTACATTATTACATTACCTGTAATAATGTTGCACTAGTAGTGCAACCTTTCAATGCCATAGTGAGCCAGAGAATAGAAAAAAAAATCATAATCTTGTCAACCTCATCACTTACCAATAGACTCAATTATTTGAACTTTGTCTAAATACTCTTCTAATTTATTCATTTGTTTGTTTGGAGGAGAGTTCCTTGTTAAACCTTTGAAGGAGTCTCTGTTCCATGACCCCTCTGGGTACTCTAGCTCATCCAAAAACATTGAAGTTAGGTTAATTTGAGAGTCTACTGCTAAATTCTCAAAGCAGGCCTCAATGCTTGATTCAGATTTTTTTTAGCTAAGATCTGTCTTTTTTTGTAATATGATGTGAATATGATTCTGAATAAAGTGCATCTTTGAAGACTGTAAATATGGTTACCACCCACATTGACATGTATGTTTCATTTCTAAAGTGTTAACTAAATACCATGCTTATGTTGTCCGTTGACATCCGTTTCAATACAATAATGTAAAATTCAGATGAGTTGCGTCATGTCAGATTCAGACTGAGGTAGCATCAAGTTAGGATCATACATCAACTGCTCCAAACCAAAAATGACAACTTTGGATTTCAGGTGAGTTTGTCATTAAATAATTCAAGTCTCAATCACATATAAGCAAATAGATAAAAATAAAACAGAATTTTATCACATTTGACATAGTCAAAACATGAGAGCGTGAATAGTTCTCTCATTTGTCTCTGTGTAGCTTCTAATTTGTGGGTGATATTGAGACATCTACACTTAAAAAAAAGGTCAGGACAATATTTCTTTGCATTTTTTTTCATTTCTTTGCAACAGTAACAACCAGAATAATAAAAGCTGATGAAATACAAACTAATGTTACTTTCTGAAGAGGAGTTGCAGAGCCTCCATTAAAAAAATGGGACAACAGATGTAGAAAATGCTTACATGTATAACATATTTCCTTTGATGGTTAATGATTTTATTATTCTAGTATTTTTCACTTATTTTGCATACTGCATCATCATTGCTGTTATTTTTAATGTGTGAAATATTCAGTTTTATTGACCATTCAGTGTTACAATTGCTCAATTGAATTTATTTCAAGTGCTTTACACTAATCACTTTTTTTTCCAGGTTTGATTATTTTGTCCAAATATCTAGAAATTCTTCTGACTCTCTTCCCTGTTATCATCTGAAATGCCTGTCGTGAATAAAACACCCCCTGAATACTTCAACCCCCTATATTAGAGAATATCTGAACCTTATCGCCTTTTTCTGTTTATAGTTTGGCTTTTGATTAAGTAGAACTGAGTGAACAAAAGACTTACCAGCTGGCATGGGGTGTGTTGTCGAGGACAAGAGACTGCTATCAGGATTCTCCACATGGGTGACAAGCAGAGCAAGATGAGAGGGACCCCGTGGACTGGCATTTTATCATCTCACTGTTCAGAAAATAAGGAAAACAGAAGGATTAGACTTTATATCAAGCCTCAGAGGACATAATACAATTCCTCTCAGACACTTTATGTCTGAAAATTAACATATACCGCACTATGTGGACTATGTGAAAGGAATTCGACCAACAGCCACTTGATATAGAAGAGTCCACGCAAGTTGAGAAGTTTGGTGGATAGAGCTGATAGATTAATGTTTTTTGATTGGAAACTGATGCTGAGTGAAGTGATTTACTTGTTTGGCTGTCTTTATGGCTTCTTTGCCCTATTCCTGACTCTACAAAGGGAATAAATCGCTTCACATGTGAGAGCGACATGTCCATTTCATATATCTCTCATGGATTATCTTTAAAACTTCACATTGCTAGAGTCCGCTGCATAGTTTATTCTGACTTGTTAGATTAATCAAGTTAAATTCCATCCTATGTTGCAGTGCATCATGTAAAATTTTCTCCTTAGAAAAACAGCCATGTTTAAAGTTCCTTCATTTCATGTCATACCACTGTGACTTCTCCTTCTTTTTAAACTAGCATGCATTTTAATGTAGAAAATCATTTCAATGCTGACACCAATGATAAATGTAATATTTTACATTTCATCTTTTGAAATCGGCTGGATTTTACAGCTTTCCCCTGCCCGTCTTCACAGCTCACCGTGAGTAACTGCCCTTGGATAACGCAGTTTGTTGCGTTGTGAAGAAAATACATTTGCAGAAAACAAGCTCCCTAACTGTTACTAAATAATAAACAGCTGCTATTTATGAAAATAAACATTTTTGCCAGCATTTCTCTCCAGTGAGAGACTTTTTTTTAATTGTGTGTTTCAGTAGCAGGCAATATGTCTACATCATATTAAAAAAGCATAACATTCATGTTCTTTGCTCAAGTACATATAAGACAACACATATTTAACCCTATAATGCTATATGTATAGTGGCTGATACATAAAGTTTCTGAAATCTTTTGCATCTGAGAACGTTTGCATCCTTTAATGGTAAAAAACCTTGCTCAAACCCCTGTTGTAAACAATCAGATATATCTGATAACAGTAGAAGCCCACACAACAATAATTCTGACTCATCGCACAGCAACAAACGTTGAATATTCCAATAATCATTTAAGTTTTTTTTCATATATATTCAGTTAAAGGAACAAATAAAGACTTGAAACAAAAAAATGTGTCATTTTCTCTCTAATTGTCCTTGGATCAGGCTTTAAAGGGTTAAAATAGTCTTCTTTTGGCTTGGTATGAATGTATTCTGCTGTAGTGCATTAGTGCACAGTGCATTTACTTACACTGGTGATGTGGTGTGGATTTCCCAAGCCACTGACGGTTGCTCCCCTGACCATACCGCACGATGACTTGCTTTTGCAGTGAGCGTTCTCATGAGTGTCAGGCTCATCTGCGCTCCTCTGCCCTGACTGAAGCGCCGATGCCCCCTTGTTTTACTCTTCGCGGAAGCGCGCAGGCAGGCAGGCAACGGAAGCCGAGTCACATGGACAAGCTGCAATCACACTGAAAGGTTCTCGAGCCCGGGGCCACAGGAAGGCGAGTGCAAGGCTCAACAGCTCTCTGCCGGGACCGTGCACGCTTTCCTTCCTCTCTCTCCTCACAACATCGCAGCAGTCGTGCTGTTCTACAGACGACTTGAAGCTGATAGCACCAGTGCCACCACAAAAACCCAACGAGAACACACCCATCACACCCTCTGCTCATTCTGATCAGTCAACCAACTCGAGAGGAAACCGCTCGACACACACACGCCCTTCCTGCCTAATTTTTTGGCCTGTCTCAGCAACAGATGCATAAATATACACATGTACGCTTATTCTATACTCTGTTAAAAGTTGAAGGCTTACATTTCTTCTGGGCCCAACCGATAAAGGGGATGATGTAGTGAATTCAGAGGCCTCAAATAGATTTTGTTCTCTAGTGTCTTTGTAGTCTTTGCAACAAAACACATAGTACAAACCAAACATTTCTTTTTCATACTGTATGTTTTTTTTTCTCTTTCTTTCTTTCTTTGTCACCTGACCACTAAAAGCTCTTTCTGAATGTCAAGTTAATTTTGACAAGGTAGCTGGAGTTGACACCAGTGGGTACAAAAAAAAGGAATTAGGAATCAGGAAGTGATGGTGTTTGTCTTTGGAAGGGTGATTTGTTGGTGATGTCTTCCTGTTTTCACACAGGACATCTCAAGCTCTCACTTCTGTAAGTGTGACAGTGTGTTTTTATAACCAATGAGAGTCCGTCCAACCACTATTGGTTGTGTGACAATTAGCGTATGTGTATGTCACATTTGGGAAAAAAAAATTGTGTTAACCTGGCTGAAACCGAACTTTTACAATACATGTAAACACGTTAGATGTAATAAAATGACTGAACTTATTTTACATATTATTTTACATGAATGATGTGACACATGTGGAAGCAGGTATGCCGACATCTAAAAAGATGGCAACAATTCAGGATTAGGATTAGGATATTGTTTTAGTTTTTCATGAACAGTGCTCTCTAAATTTGAACATGATCACAAAAGACTGAAGAAAACCAAAAACAGCTGGATAGATTTGTCACAGTACGATAGGTGATGTAGCAACGAGTCAGTAACATGACTCGAAATACTGAGAGCAAATGGGAGAGGCAGAGTCTCTCGGACGTAATAATGGAAAGAAGATTCTGTTATCTTCAAAAGACCTGTGCTTACATATTGTGTTTCCTTTCCAGAATGAAATTCCTAACTTTAAATTTCAAATGGACAATCAAAGTCTTTGGATATTATATTTGGCATTTGAAATCGTCAACATCTGGAAAATGCACATTCAATAATAAAAAGTGTACATTGAGTCTAAAGAAGTTTATATATCTTAGAGCAACGTACACTATTGTTTGGGAAATGCTTTTGAGGAGGGTCTTGCATTTTTCAGCAAGATAAAGTAAAACTGCACATGGCAACTTTACAGTATTAGATCAGTGCTGGACAGACCTGCCAATACTTTTCACCACTTTCACCATTTGACGCATAAACAGATAATATGATGAGCACCTCATTAGTTAGGACCCTCTGTCAAACCATAATGGGACAAAACTAACCCAAAGGTCCAGGAAATTAACTCTTCTTGAGTTCTTGAGGTAATAACGGTCATATCCCAATGTTTTAAAACCTGTGATCATCAAATTGATTAGTAAAATGAGCTGACATTTTTTATGTTATGTTCTTCACCTTTTCGATGTGTTTTTATGTGTGAAATTTTGATTTTGAATATTTGCTAACCATTGCATTCTGTTTTTATTCTGATTTTACACAGTGCCCAACACTGTTTGGAACTGAGGTTGTACTTTATTTAGTAAATCCCTCCCTCCATTTAATTGAACAAAAACTGTAACCCAATTAAATGTTCTAAAAGAACAATAACCCTATCCTCACTTAACCATACATACACACATCCAGCCAGCTCATCAGTGATTAGGCTTGCCAGCTTCATGTACATTTTCATTCCTTTCATTTAAAGAAACAAGAAAATACAAGCAGCTATACCGACCACTTTGGGAAGTCAACGTTTCCTTTTGCTATCACACTCAAAATCAACAGCTCGGACACAACAATGGGCCATTAATCAACACTTTCGAGCCTGCCATGGTAAGGTCTAATGATGGAGGACATGTGTTTCTTTAACCTCGACATTATAAAGAAAGTGTATTTTATGTGTAACAGTAAATCTTTTTTTAAATCTTTCAAAGATGTTCTGATAAAAGATTATTCCGTTACACTGAATAAGCATCTCTGTCTCCCATGTTCTACCAGTAATACTGCATGTGGTGCCTTGAGGTGTAACTTTAAATAACAAAATTCCATCCCACCTCCAATTGCACCTGTGAAAGCCTGTGATGTCGGACAGTTTGTCATCGCCTGTTTGTCATCGCCTCTTTCTCCTTGCAAATTGTGTTAGACCTGCTCAAAAGCTGCGATTGTACCATGATGTAAACACACATTGCACTAGTACAAATTCACTGAGCACTTCGCACAGTTGGCAGCTTCTCGAAAAACCCTGTGCATTTGCATTCTATTTATGACAACTGAGGAGGGGTTTGAGCATTGGTGTGTATAGTCCCACCAGTCAAGGAGGAAGACGCCAAGATATTGAAAGAAGATTATTTAATAAAATGTCAAACTTAAATAATTTCCATCTGGGATTATTAAAGTATTTCTGATTCTGATTTTGATTAAAAATATAACTGAGCCGACCAATTGAGAGTCTAATTACATTAATTAACCCTCTTTGGAGTATGTTTTAAAGCATGTATGATTTACTTTGAAGCTCTTGTTTAAGCTTATCCTTTATGGTAAATAACTTTTGCTTAGCCTGGTACATTTATTCCTATGCAAAGATTGTCACACACTTGATACATCTTCACGCTCCTGCCCTCTAGTGGTGAAAAGAGATAGATTGTATAATATTTTTTTCATCTTTTGGTGAGAAAGAATTTCTGTCAACAACATACTTTTTTGCTTTGTTATAAAGAGTTTTCTTTCCTGTTCCCTTTGACACACACAATCATATACATATTTTTTATATAGTGATATAAAAAAAGCCTAAGAAAACAAAATTAAACAAAACAAAATAAAATCTGATGAAGAATTAAGAATTAGGAGAACAAAACAAACACACATCTGGTCCTTCAAGTCGATCATCTTCAGTTGGCCAAAACCTCAATAAAAATTATCCCCAGGGAAGGGAAGTCTTTTAAAGACATTTTTGAGATACTTTCAAGTCGGGTTGTGTACTTTTGAGTTGCTTCACACGGCCATCAAGTTGGACTCCTTTCTAATGGAATTTACAGCAAGTTGCAGGAGCTGAGGTGAAAGGCCAGGATCATTATCCCATTTAGGCTGGTGATCTAGGTTACGTTTTGAACTGAGAAAAAAAACGGAGCAGAAACTTGCATGCCTGCATGCCTGAACCAGAGATTTTCCCAGCAAGTATCCAAGTACACCAACGAGTCTGTAGAAGATGAACTGCGGGACCTGGTTCCGACAAGGAGATCGTCTCTCATAAAAGCGACAAAGCACAAAGAGCTGTGTCAGCCTTCTATCCTGTGGTCTTGGCTTTTCAGTCAACGTTTTTCCAGTAAGAGGTCGACCTTTCTGCTAATTATCCAAAGCCTGGGTTGACAAATCTGGATTATGGTTCTGATGAGGAATATGTCCGTAAAACACGCTGAGCCATTATCCTTCCTGCAGTCACCCCACACACATGGGAGTCCTCATACACGTCCAAAATATACCCAGAGGGAGGGGAGGCAGTCGAGGAAGGCCACAAAGTCCCGTCACCTCAACTGAGAGTGAGTCCAGATTAGCATGCATCAGCAGGGAGGAACTCATAACGCAATTTAAGCGTTAAGAAGAGATTAATGCTTGGCTCCGTAGGAAAATAAAGAAAATTCGAGAGAGGAGACCAACAAGGCTCTGCTCAGTGAGGTGGAGAGATTGAAAAAACAACCTGAAGAAGGCCTACTACTCAAAGCGCTTTACACTACATTTCATTCACCATTCACCCACACCAGAGGCACCGAGTGGCAAAATAAGGTTAAAAGCCTTTCCTAAGGACTGTTTGACATGTGGCCTACAGGAACATGGAGTCAAACTACTGACCCTCCATGGAGTGGGCAACTGCCCTTCCCTCCTGAGCCATAGCCGCCCGCTTATGTGAAGCGCTTCAAGAGCTGAATGAAAGTTTAAAATCAAGGTGTCTGAGGAGTCACAGCAGTTTACAGAGACAGTTTCAAGTTTTACTGACACATGAGAGGTCACAGAGGAATTTAAGGGTCAGAATGTGACATGGTTGAAGTTGCTGGGATCCCGTGTTAAGAGCATTTGTGTTTAATTGTTAGTGAGGGGATAGTTTGCTAATGGTGCTTTCCCGTTCGTACTTACTCAGCCCGTCATGGTTCAGCCCAGCCAAGCTCCGCATGGTTTAAGTGGTTCTCCGCTATGAGTAATGTCTAAACAGAAAGAAGGGCCGATTGGCCAATGACGTTATTTATCCGTGACACAAGCAGAGATGATAATGATGGACTAAAAACCATCCAAACTGGTGTGTGGAATCCCAGAATAATGAAATTGGACGTGTTGTGGTTGCTCAGTTTTTGGGCACTAGAGGAAAAGAAATATAAGTCTGGTACAAATCTCTTGTGTTTAATTTTAATTCTGAACGTCTGCTGTAAAAAAAATACTTTTCTTAACCTTCAAAGTTGTTATTTTAGACATGTAAAGTCAACTCTTGAACATCTGTAAAATAAAAATGTCTGTCTGAAAAAAAAAAAAAAGCTTTTCAATATAAAGAATGGGACGTTTTGCCAAGTTAGACCTTTATTGCAGATATCTTGAATGTTGTTAAGACTTCTGGAATTGAATGTCACACACATGACTACCAAAGGCCACATATAATAGAAGCAATTGTAAAGGATTAGTGGAATTCTCTGAATTAGAGAGCGGTCATGGTGGATATCTGAGGTATGCATTTCAACTGGGATTGATTGAATTCTTTTGTTGTATGCAGTGCACGGAAGGCCCAGCTGTTACATTTAAAATGGCAACTTGTAGTAGCAAACAATAAATAGAATGTAAAAAAAAAAATCTATATTCTAATAGTGGCACCGTGTCGATTTTATTTTCAGAACTTCAGAGCATACAATTTCTATAGTACCAAAGTTAAAACCACATAATAAATAATGGGTAATACTACAGTAGCACATTAAAAAGGACACATTACCATGAAACAAGTGTACTTGCACCATCAACTCTGTGAGTTCTTAAAAAGGGGAGATGTTTCTGTTCTCTATCCATGCACGTGTGACACCTGGCCATGCACGTCTTCCATGTTCACTGCTATAACCACATAAAAAAAAAACATTACAACAGATCACAATGGTTTGGCCTAAATTCATCATAATCCACTCATTGGTTATAGTTTAACTCTCTTAATCCACAGTGAGTTGTTTCTGTTAACCAGTACAGCAAACAGACACTAATAACAACTACTTTTTCATGTAAAATATTAGAGTATTTGCCACAGTTTAAAGTAGTTTTGGCTTCACTCAAGCAAGCATGAGGTCCCGAATCTCACCGTTTCCCCCGGTCCTTTGAACAAAAACAGAACAGCAGCTGAACTGTAAAAAGTGGGAATACAACGAGTTCAAGTTTACACGGGAGTACGTCCATGATGATCCTATGCGCTTTCTCCTGCCCTCTCACTCAAGAGTATGTGAGGTGTTGTTGTAGAAACGTCATTTGTTATCTTTGTTTATCTAACTCAAGTCGGTATATTTGGAAGAAACGTGACCACTGCTTGTCATCCAAAGCCTTTAAAACGCCGTCGGTCTCGGACGTCGGCCGACCAACGGAAAAAAAAGTCCCACACTCGCGTGCTCACGTGTTTTAAAGGTGGTGTCGGTTAGTCCGCTTTTAACCATCCAGAGGTTTCCCCAGATACACCATGGTGACTTCAGTGTTGCCATACACTGCAGAGACAGCGGGGAACAGGCAGGTTTTGGGCAATCCACGGAACGCAACTCCAAGGAATTCAAAGCCCCTCTCAAAGGCTAGAGTCTTGTCATCCATGTCTAAGATCACTCGTATTCTCTCCCCGATCTGCAGAAAAAGCACGATCACGTCATAAAGTCGAACGGCACAAATATCTAAAGAGATTTAAATGGGCAAAAAGGGTGGAAATAAGCATAACATGGATAAAGAAGTGGCTTCTTTATCCTCACTACCTGATATTTGGGTGCATTGTTGCACTGTGGGAAATTTCCGTTGACCTCCCCGTTGTGAAGCAAGTTATTGTCGACCAGGTTCCAGCCCCAGCTCTGGTCATCGCTGCCCAGCAGGGCCACATAGCCCTGGCACTGCATTGCTGCCCGCTTTGTGGCGATCCCTATCACCGCCACCGTGCCGAGGGGGCCTTCCCACCAGATCTCCCAGGCGTGCCGCCCTTCTGAGAAGCCGATCTTGCCACGGGCCCCATCTGTGCTCTGGGCGATGGGGTTCCGGTGCAGGGTGAAGCCGTTCTTCTTCACGTAAACGTTGCGGGAGCAGTCGTGGGAGCTCAGAGCGTGTTGGAAGGCCTTGAGCTGCAGAAGATGGCACATCATCGATTAATTCTCAACGGCCGAGGTTACCAGAATCTTATCACAGTGGCTACACACATTTACATTGATTTTAAGCGTCTTCTATTGAGATGTATGAATTCTTAATTATTGATTAGGCATGGTTGGAATTCCCATCAAGGCTAGCAAGTATGCTGCACCAATAGTGGAACTAAGAGCCCATGAATAGATAGATGAATAGATATATGACAAATATGAGTTATTTTTCACTACTAATTTATGAGTAACCTAAATAGAATTTAATTCTAGTATAATATATGCTTCTATGTTATACATAGAAAATAAACAACAGCAAGAGGGCCCATATCGAATGTGAATTTGACAACAGAACGGCAATCCCCGGCCTTCTCAATCCAAATCCCATTTAAAATCTGTTTTGGAATATTCCGGTGAGACTACATCTCTGCACCTGTTACAAAACACAACCTAACAAGATTCACATTCATGGCGGTCCCTTAATCCCTATTCAAAAGCACCATCCAACTGATTTCTTCATGTAGTTTTTCGCAAAACCTACTTTCCCTTTGAATGAGAGCAGGTTGCACAGGATGTCAGACCGCAGTGCCTCGTCGCTCAGAGTCCGGCTAGCCAGGCTGCGCCACACCTCGCTGTTCTCGTCCGCCAGGATGTTATTCCAGTGCCAGCAGACCAGCGAACACTGGATCAGGTCGGACAGCTCGAGATAGGAGAAGACGTGCTCCAGGACGCGGGCCGGCAGCCTCCCGGCCACCCCGGCGCCTCCCCCGGCTCCCGCGGCGTACGAAGAGCCGGCGGCGGAGCTGCAACTGGCGGCCGCTGCTGCACCTAAACAGGAGGAGCCTCCTCCCCCAACGGCCACCGCTGACATTGTGCCCCCCTTACTCTTTGGCCAACGACAACCAGCCAGCTAAATAGTTTCGCCTTACACCGATAAGCGACTCCTAAAACCATTCACATGTGTCATTTTCGACGAAAAGCCGCACTGGGGCCGCAATAACACCATAGCAGTAGAGACCACTCTCTCCTCAGTTCAATGGCTGAATGGAAACGATGCGTCAAGGTCCTTAAAGAGCCAATGCATTAAGCAAACGAAGTGCACAAAAAAATATTTAAATGAATTTTCAAAAGGACGCATATATTCGAATAATAGGAAGAAATGTCTAAATTAATTGTAGACAAGTCTATAGAAAAATAGAGAATTCAAATTTAGTTCAATCTATTTTATGGCCCGTGAGGACCGCATACCAGCCATAATTGTGAGCTGACAGAAGATAGCCACAATGTTACGAAATTGAACCTTACGTCGATGTAAAAAATTTTTTAACTACGTCCGCCATATGGCTAAACCGCGTAAATAATATGCACTGCCTAAATAAACCATTGTGAACTAAATACATTCGTTAGACGCATTGTACTTCCGTTTAGTTACTCAAAAAATATTCTTCCTGGCTATCCTTGTTGTAAGAAAACAGTAAGTAAAAAAGAACAAAAATGTTGCTGTATAGTTGTGTGACTAAAGATATATATTTATTTGCCAAAGGAAAATCTGTCATCCGTAAAAAGCTAAGTGTTGTTATTGAGACCACGTGACGGTATACGGAAGTGACGCGGATTGCTCAAAAGAGTTAGGCAAAGCATCTGGGAACAAAACACCAGCTAGCTCAATTTCATTTAACACCCAAGGTCCAGAGGAGAAAACTAACGCACGGTCAAGACGTTAAACGGTAAGTTGTCGTTGGCTATTATCAAACCAGTACGATTAGGGAGTTAGCTGTCGTGTTGGGACAGGCGTCACTGCAGAGCACATCTGTCTGGCTGCCTGCCTCTTGAGCCGCACGGCCTGTTGACAAGCTTGTCCCCCATCTGTCTGCTGTCCGGGGACACTTCGGCGTTTTAGCGCGGTCAGACAGGTGATTTGCAGGTCAGTGTGTTCACCAGAGGCCACCTGCAAAGAGGAAAGGCGCTCAGCGAACACCGGGAGCTGCGGCGTCAGAGGCTCGCAAGCTAAGCTAGCGTGTGATAACAAAGCCGCTCGATGTTCACCTTTGGAAATTCTTCTACTTAAAGGTTGCCATCTTTATTCTGCACAGCCTGCATACCTAACGTCACCTCTAAGAGCAAAGACTAAGACGTTAATGCTGTTAAGAATGTTACTAAAATGGCTCTCAAGCGAATAGAGAGCAGCACTTTATGAGTTTATCTTTCTTTAAAAAATATATATATTTAAAAAACACTAATAATTTTCTTCTTACTTTTCGCTTCTTGTTTGTTTATCTAAAGAAAAGAACGAGATGTTGTTTGAATTGAGTGCAATTGTCATATTGATTTTTCGGTGTTTTTTCTGTAAAAGTGAAATTTTAAGTCAACATTGTATTTTGAATTACAACAGTTTTTTTTTATAAGGAGGTATACAACTATATGATTCCCTTCTACCTTTAGCTTAGTGTGATACCACATTCACGTTGTACGCATGCGTCGGCTAAAGTAGTTTTGCTCTTTTTTTGTTTAATGTAATTTAAAATGTGATCATCAAGGACTATCTTTAATAAGCTGCCTTGTAACGTGATGTAATTGTTTTTTAAGTAGTCTCCACTAGAGGGCAGCATAGAAACAAAACTGAACCATCCCTTTCAGCTAGCTTGTCTCCTTTGGAGCATAAATCACCTAGAGGTGGAATAACAGAAGCCATATAACCGTGATTTTAAAGTGCATTTATAATGTAAGGCTGAAGTAAAGTGTGTGTGTGTGTGTGTTTGTCATTTTTTCAAAATAATTTCTTAAAGAAATTCATCTCAATACGGTCTTCTTATTTATAAGCTCCCCACAGTCCCTTTATATTCTAAGATGTAAGGGGACTTGCATTGTAAGATTCTATAATCTATCTTCTATAATCTATGTACACTTTATCCTGTATGCCTTACCAGTGTGCATAGATGAGGTGACCATGAGCTGACAAGGTCATCTATTGTAAGATTCTGCCAGTATTAATTGTATACAAAGTGAAAGTGAAAGAGTTGCTGTTTGGCTCTTGAATTTTCTCTCTACAAACTTTCAAATTTCGCTGGGAGACGTTCAAGTGCAGATTTGATTCATATTCATGTTTTTTCTTTGTAGAACCTGTGAGCAGTCAATCAAAATGAATCCAGTGTACAGCCCTGCACCAACAGGGGTCCCCTTCACTAACACCAAGGGTATAGGCTACCCAGGTAATGAGAATAAGAACCCAGTGTGTGGTGGTTCAAGCCGTTCACCATAATTACAAAAAAATGGCTTTGAATATAATTTTAAAAAATCATTTATCTTTTTTCTTCTTCTTTTCCTTATGACAGCTGGATTTCCTATGGGCTATGCAGCTGCTGCCCCGGCATACTCTCCCAGCATGTACGCAGGGGCAAACCCAGCCTTCCCCAACGGTAAGATTGAAATCTACATGAATTCAAAAGATTGACCTTTAGATTTGTGTTACAGGTGCTTCAGTAACGCTTAAATGCTCATTAAAACTGTATCTTTCACATTCAGAAAGGATAGCAGTTAGCAGTGATTTCTTTAAGAAGTGGTCAGGGAGAGTTCTCCAGGCTTCTCGAAGGACATCCCAAACGTCTTCTTTGGATCATGGCAGCTTTTTCGTTCTATTCTCTATGAAGATGTTCCCAAATTAGTTATTGTGTTGTTGTTTTGTTTTTAAGCCTCAGCCTTCTAACCATTCCCTTTCCTTACCAATATCCTCTTTATAGTCACTCTTTAGTGGAAACAATCTTCTGATAAGGCTTCTTTGAACAGCTGATGCATCTCTCAGGTCCGGTGTCAGATCTCTGCCTGAATTTGGATGTAGTTTGCTTTACTTATTCCTCTTCATCCAAAAACAGGACAGGGGTATTGTTCATAGTGGCTTGACTGAACGGGGGAGACAAACACTTTACCCAAATGGGACAGGTTAGCTTCCTGGGGAGCGGCTGACCTTCCTCTTATGAGATCAAGCCTCTCTTCAAAGGTCTGTCTTCAAAAAGGCTTGCAAAAACATCTGCATCCATATCTACTCCTTCAGCCATTGTGGGTTAAAGAAGTGAGTAGATACATTTGACTTTTCTTGTGGCTTGATTACTCTGCACAACACTGGGTGAGTATCCAATAACAGAATGCATACATCTCCTGTTCAACGTGAGGGCGTCTAGCTGATCTAACTGTTGCCGGCCACACAGAGACACACAAGGACAAACAGCCACTCACACTCGCTCCTAAGGGCAATGTGGAATGTCCAATCAACATAACATGCAGGTTTTTGGACAGTGGGAGGAAGCTGGAGAACCCACGCAGACACAGGGAGAAAATGCAAACTCCACACAGAAAGGTCCTGGTTCCTCCTGGGACTCGATGGAGACATTAAAAACATAAATAATACTAATAAAAAATTTAATTTAATTTTTTGGTTATGTTAGGCCAGCCAAGAACACCTACCTGGCCCTGATGGCACAGCACTGCTTAGTTGTCAGTTTTCTACACTTTAGATAAATAGGCATCAAGTGCATCCTGACACAAGTAATGGTGCATGGTAGGACAAAGGTTTAGGATGTAACGAGGTGGAAATTTGGACGCAGGGTTGTTTCCTGAGCCGCACTGTCAGTGCTTCAGTGAGATCTTCTGTTGCCTTGCTCCAACATAACGAGCAGACTTTCCTCTTCCATTTTAGGTTACAGCCCCGGCACTCCCTTCAAAATGTCTTGCTCTCCCAGCACGGGGTCTGTTCCTCCATACTCCTCCTCACCAAACCCATATCCTACTGCCGTGTACCCTGTCAGGAGCACCTATCCCCAACAGAATCCTTACGCACAGGTTGGTGGGCCTGCCGTAGTATGATGACAGGAAATCCAGTATTATCAGTTCTTTATTTATTTATTTTTTTTAACATTTTGTTCCTGTATCTTACCTCCCCGTCTGTCTAATCCAGGCATTAATACCTTCACAACAACAAGGCCCTTACTACACGCAGCCGCTGTATGCCGCGCCGCCCCATGTTATTCATCACACGACAGTGGTGCAGCCCAACGGGATGCCTGCCGCCATGTACGCCCCGCCCATCCCTCCTTCCCGCCCCAACGGCGTTACCATGGGGATGGTAGCTGGCACGACCATGGCCATGTCCGCTGGTGAGCTGCAGCGACGCCTCCGCTCACTGTTAAGACCACAAAACGCCCCAAAAAGGTATTAAACAGAATTCTTTGCTGTGCTTCGCAGGAACGTTGTTGACAACTCCGTCCCCAGCCCCTGTTGCCCCACACCAGGTCACTATGCCCACATATCGGCCCCCGGGCACCCCCAGCTACAGCTACGTGCCCACACAATGGTGAAGAGGCCGACGTGTGAGTAGCCCGTTTTAGACGGTGGCAGATGAGAGTGGCCAGACAGCTGATGGTTTGTACTGATGCGCTCTCTTCTCTTACAGGTCTGAAGATGGTAGATATGCATTCACACTCTACTCCAGTGATTTTTGCTCCTGGTGGGGACCTGCCCCGGCAACGTCCACAACCAGTTACTCTTCTTCCAGCATAATGTGAATCTAAAACCCAACTCTATAGAAAGAGGCTTTTTTTTGTCTTTTTTTTTTTTAAATCCTTTTCAATTTTTGTTTCTAATATAGAGAGGGGATGAAGAATAGGCCCATCCCCTTTACTCCCTCCCCTTATAACGGCATAAGGCTGCATTCCAACCCCCCCCCCTCCCATTTAAAAAAAACAAAACAAACCTCACTGTCAGCATCTCTACAACCTGCTGCAAATGTCACATCAAACTGCAAAACTTTTTTGTGGACCGTCGTGCAGGTTTTTCTAGCTTTGACTCTTCAGTTGTGATTTTGGTGGGGAGAAAAGGGAGTTTTTATTTTATTTTTTTAAAAACCTTTTTGTTTTCCTTCGTTTTCAGTTGGGGGGGATGCATACGATGTCGAATGCATGTGTATATATAGATATATTAAGTAATGCTAGCTCAATCTACCTGCTGCAACAGATGCAACGTCAAACAAAAAGGCACACGTCCAAAGGAACTGAGGAAAAAAAGAAGTAATAATCTGCAATGCTGAATTACCAGTGACCGTGTCATAAATGTGAAAACACACGTTTGTTCATGCGAAAAACATTTCTGCGTAAGGCCGGCGCAGACCAAACTTACCATTTTCACTGCTTTGTGTTTAGGGAAGTGATACTAGAGTTTTATTGTTCCTCTGAGTGATGCAGCGTTTGCAGCATGTCTTACAGTGTTTGTATTTTAGAACAAAGATGGGCGTTTGTGTCTCTGTCTGATGGCCATTCCAACACTAACAATCCAATAACACTCCAAATTTTATTTTCTTCCTGTCTCTCTTAAACATTTTATAGGGGGGGAGTGAATTATTTCCAAAATTCCGTGCAAAGGCACAGGTTAAATTGACAATTTAAAACAAATTTTAGCCAGAAATGTTTTCGGTGGGGAACAAACAGAGGTTATTGGAAATCATTTGCACCAATTTAGTGTGAATAAATGAGCAGGAGCAGTATTTTTTGTGTGTGTGTATGTGTGTGTGGGGGTGTGTGCATACAAGTATGTATGAAAGTGTCTTAAAATGGAAGCTGTATAAAGTGGTGCCATACAGTGAGACATGCTTAGAATTTTAGGCCTACATGTCACTCTAGTTGGTTTGTTCTTGGGTGGCTCTGACGCACTACATCATTAAATCACTGCTAACTGTGCAAATGTTAGGACATGTTATCATTATACTCAAATTGTGAATAGCACTACTGAGTGAAGGCACTAAGTCAAAACAGTTTAAGATATATTACCTTTTGACATTGCTCGCTGTCTTACCTCAAGGCTAACCCACCAATATCACTGTTTCAAACATGCTTTTCTATGTTGCCTCAGTCACCTCAGTTAAATAATCTGTTTTGTAAATGTTATTTTTGTGATTTTGGTTCCTGTTTTGTACTCTAAAGAAAGACCAAAAAATAAAAAACAAGTATAAGGATGGTTGTTGTCCTCCATTTTGTGTATGTTTTTATCAAAGGTGAAACAAAGAGTTTGTGTACATATACACGATTTTCATGATGAAGTATCAAACCAATCGATCCAGAAAAGGTTTGGATTCAGGAATTTTGAGATGTAAATCAAATTTAATGGAAGAACAAGTCAAATTATGACCAGACATTTTTACATTATGAAAACAAAATATATATGAACACTAGCATTCGCCTCATCCAATTTTGGGCATGAGAAGATCTAGTTAGTGGACTCTTGAAAAAGTACTATTCCATTCTTGTGTGAGATCAGTCTCTAGAATAAAATTAGCAGCAATGATGTATCGGTTAAGATGGTTAGATGAACGTTTTCCCTACTCGATATGGACCATGTTTTACATTTTTATACAGCTGATTTCTTTATACTGAAACATAGACAATTTCCATTACGTTTTAGAAATTTTTCACATTTCTTAGCCCTCATTAACAGAAGGAGGGTTACAATATTTTCATTTCATAATGGAAAAACTCACATAGCCTATGCATGCAGCTTTTTAAAGTGAGAAGCTATCTATGATAGAAGACTTTAATCTTCAACTGTAAGTTAAAGTTCAGATATATGGCATTTGTAAATGTAGATTAATACATTTTGTTTGTTCAAATTGGATTGTTTTTCTGCTTTTAAGGTTTGACCAGGGTTAAACACAAGATGGCGTCAAAGCTGCTCAACAAGTTGAACTTCCGGATACGAAGCGCATTTCCCAGCATGCAATTCGGCGCGCGGAATTGGGATTTTGTGTTTAGAACAAAAACTGTCCATATATGTAGCAGTTTAGAGTTGATGTCATCAAGTTTTAACAAATTCTTGGACATATTATTGTAGGTATTTGTCGTGACCTTTGTTATGTATCCAACTTAGAGTTCGCAGCTTTTTTGTTTTTTATTTCAAAGCACTTCCTACTGTGGATATTGGAAAACAGGGTTTAGCAGGAATTTAAGCCTTCTGAATTGGTGGACAAAAGCTAAACTAGGCAGAGCTCCGGCCTAAAAGTGACGGTCATATTGTGTTAGCGATGAAACTGTGTGCAATAGCCTTTGGCTGACGAGTGCGAGTACTTCTCGTTTTGAGATAGCTTAACGTCTTGCATAGTTTCCGTAACAGGACTTTATTAGCTTGGTTGTTATAGAGTCCCTTGTGCTGGAAGGGGTTGTTGTTGCTTTTGTTTTTTGCTCAAAGGCATTTGCTGTTCAGGTTGCGGTTCGTGCTTCAGCAGGTGGGCTGCTGCCTGCTGACTGTATTGGGGATGAATGGAAGATGAGCAGCCCAGGAGACAGCAGCGGTACACCCAAAAATGCCGATCCCTTTGAGGATTTATGGAGGCAGCTCGGGGAGTGTCATCAACATGCGCTGAAAGGTAACTGATCCGTGGCCCGACCACAACATTCTCGCCTTGTTTACGCGTCTGAATACGTCGTTTTCCTCCTCTTTGCAGAGCTGGAGGCAAAAGTCAGCAAGCTAAAAAAGGACCGCTGTCTGTAAGTATATGAAGCAGGTGTTTTTATGGACCAGAAAAAAACTGAATTTATGTAAGTGTGTGACTTTGCTGATGTTTGCTGGCTGCAGAGATGCGCAGAGGCTGGAGGTGTTTTACAGTCGCAACCAGCAGCTGAAAGAGCAAAACAAAACACTGCAGGGTGCCATCAGTCTTCTAGAGGAAAGGTGTGTGTTATGATTTTATCAAAGGGATTTTCCGCTTTTTGACTAATTTCTAAAGTACTGTGGTAACCCCTGGCAGAAAATACGGAATCACCAGTTTTAGAGGAAGTTAATTGATCTTCTTTATTTTTCAGTAAAAGTTCAAATTGAGTTAAAAGTTGAAAAGTGCTGGATAAGGCTCTACCCTGTATTCTTCTTCTACTTAACAGTCTGACTTTTTTTTTGCTGGTTTAATGAGAAATGTCCAATTGTTTTGCTTACTGTTTGGTGACGAGCATGGAGACGTTCTTGTGCAATTTCTAGATCTTAAGGCATATAACTTAAATAGGTTTGAGCTCGATTATTGGCAGTGGCATACCAGAAATGGCACTTCCAGTTGCGGAAGGTGCCACAAGATGCCAGTGGGCACCACAAGGGGCCAGAGGATTCCACAGGCATCTGCTGCTGCAACTGGAAGTGCCATTTGATCCAGCTCCAAGTTTTAGACCCAATCGACAGGAAACAATTCTTTTCTCCACATTCTATTAGTTGCGTGCCATATCAGTGTTATCTTTCACTTAACAGCATGTATCAGCTAAATAAACCTGCTCCCGTGACATTAGTTAGTTTTCTATTTTCTCATTTTCATCTTTTACTGTATCTGTTGGCATCTTGATCGGAAGTGTGAAACAATCTGCTGTGTTTCCTGCTTTCAGGCTCCGGGCAGGAGGGTGCGATCGATGTGCTGTTTTAGAAGAACACCTGAAAAATGATCAGGATAAGAATCTGCAACTTATCGGCAAACTAAGTGAGTTTCTTCACACAGAGGCGCATTTAAGCTGAACTCAGCACTTTTCTAAGTGCAGATATAAAGAGCGTAATAATAATTTATTGCTTTAACTTTAGAGGTTTAATATATTTAAACAAAATCAAAATGATGTTTTTATGTGAACAGTGTTTCAGAATTGACACTTTCATCAAATCTAGCTTTACTTCCGATTATAGTCAACAGATCCAGAATTACCACGTCACAGTGTAACCAATGATTTGGTCACATAACGTTTCTCGGTGGCATTAATGGAAGAGTTTGTCATGTGTTCCAGAGGAGGAGAGGAACAGCCTGGACGGTGAAAACAAAAAGCTCCAAGCTGAGCTGAAAACATTGAAGGCCTCACAGTAAGCTCTACAGTAATTTTGCGTTCAAGTGCTGTTTTTGAAATGAATGTTATCACTAAACATCACAGTGGTTTTTACATCTAGTTTTGACACACGCATCGTGTATTTAGCACCTCTCTCAAATGCACCTTTTGTGCTTGAAATGGGATCAGCTTCCTCTTTTAAAAGGCTGCTCCGTTTCAGCTGTTCTGCACAGGAATACACACCTACAGTAAGGTCTCACTTCCCCATGACTGCAGATGTTGTCTTTTATCAGTTTGGAACCCAAAGAAGCCCCGTCCCCAGAGCAGGAGGATGGCATCATCCCAGACTCGCCGCTCCTGGCCAGCTCGCTACCCGTGGGGAACAAACTGAGGAAACGGAAACGCGCCGAAAATGTCAAGCGTGTTCGCTATGCGGAGACACCTCTGCCACAGTCGAACAGCTCGCTCCTATTCGGTCAGTCCTCTACAAAGCAACTTCCTCCTGCACACATGTGCAAATTCTTCTTACCTTTCTCTTTTTTTTTTCTTTTTCTTTGAAGAGCTGAATAAAGATCCTCCTGTAACCACAAAGAATTCCAGGAAAGTAGAAGTCCTTGTACCCAACACCTGTGTAATGGAGGCATCCCAGATCTCAGGTACTGCATTTCCTTTTTATAACTTCCTCACTGCCAGAAAGAATTGTGGTTTAAAGCATCTTTCCTAAAGAAAGCGGCTCCTGCGGGAAGGTTTTCGGAATATCAAACAGGTCTGGCTGAGCAGGAAGAGGCTTTGAATTCACCATTTCTTTAGGAAACTGATCGTGTTTGTGGTTTTGATGCAAGGTATTGTGGCGGGTTTATTTGAAATCAGTCTCTGTTTTGTCTCATTTCAGAAGATAATGAAGATGACATGGATGAGGCGGTTGCGGAAACATGTGGTTTCGAACTCCGTGTTGACCATGACGTGGTGGGTGCCCTGGTAATAAATGTCACCACAATGTCCTAAACGTATGAAGTCCACTCATTTTAATATCTTAATCTTTAATAATTTCCCACTTTTTCTTTGACAGTCCTCTCCTAAAAAAACAGGGAATTTAAATCGGCAAGGCAGCTCAAGAAGTCCCTGGAAGAATGGCGTTCGTTTGAAGTAAGAAAAGCACACACTCAAAGTTTTGATTGCCAAAATAAAGATCAACAGAAAAATTATTCCTCAGCAGTTTGTTTCCCCGCATTAAGGCCTTACGGCACCTCCTCTTCGTCTACGCTGAAAAACAGGCCAGACTCGACCACGGAGAGGTCCCCGTCTCTACTCCCGCGTGTCAGGCACTCTGCAGAGGAAGGTTCCATTTGCAGGGCGAAGGGGAAGAAAGGGGACAGTAACCCAGGGTGGACGAACACGCAGAAAGATGGAAAACACATTCAACCTGAGGGGAGGACCAAACAAAGCATCCGAACGGAGCCCATAGGCAGCAAGGTAAGCACGCTATTCCCAGTTTTTAGGTCAGTTTGGTCAAAGCTGTAAAGTTAATTTTTAAGTAGCACAGCACATGTTTTTTAATCAAAGGGACATTTTAAAAATACAGCCAGGAACCTAAGTGTTAATCTTTTAATGTTGGACAGGTCCAGGCAGAACAGATGGGGGCGACCAACCAAAATCCAGATGTTCCTTCTTTGAGTCCTGCTTTCAAGAAGCCACAGGATAAGCTTAAAGGGGGGGCAGATGGGAGGAGAAGAACGGCGGTGCATTTTCAGAATGCTTCACAAAGCCAGCAGAAACAAGGTGACTCGTCTGTGACCCAGCTTATTAGATAGACTGCCCTTTTATATAGTTGTCAGCTGTTTTACTATTTAAGAAAAAATGTAACCGTCCGCTTTCCCAGTTGAGAGGAAGCACAGCGTGGAGCAAATGTGGAGCATCGACCCCGCGCTCGCTCTGTCCATGTATGACAGTGAGCCGAGAGAAGACGAGGTACGGTCACGCCGCCTGGCCTATTCCCTTTTTTTTTAGGGTGGGTGTGAATGTTTGGCAGTTTCTGTCTTCTAGAAGACGGAGACACAACAGCGTTGTGGTGACCTGACGGACACTGACTGCACCTGGGTGAGTCACAGCATGCTTCAGCGTCGGGGAGAAGACAGCCAGGACAGAGAGGGCACAAAGTCTGGTGAGTGTAACACGTGCTCCATTTAAAACCAAACAAAAAAAACATACAGGCCCGATTTGATTTGATAACCTGAGTTTAACCTCTTGGACACATTTGGCGCCATCTTTAAGCAATAAGCTACTTTCTGTACCTCGAGAGAATTGCTTAGGTTTCAAATTAAATCAAATACTAGACTTAAAAAAGGTGATGCTGAATTGTCTCGCCTTTGTTCAGCAGACTCGAAGTTCCAATTTAACACTTGATTATTAGTACATATTTCTGGTACCAGTGGTCTTCATGATTTACAACTGCCCTTTCTTCACTTTTAAACCTGGAGAAACGGCTATTTACCATTTTTTTAATGCGTTTTTCAGCTGATGAAAAAGTTTCGAGGCCTTTGATGTAATGATATCCTAAATAAGATATTTTAGGCACTATACAACTCCAAACAAAATGACAGGCTTGTTTTAAGTCTTCCCCATTTTTTAAAAACATAATCAAGATTATATGTCATTAAAATGTTTTGATTGGATTTTAACTTTTTTTTTTTTTTTTCTGAACTGTTTGAAATTGTTCATGGTTTAAAAATACTAATATTAATGATTCTCTTTTCAAGGACTAGGTGTGAAGGCGCACGACAGCCTGGACGTGATGTTTGACACGACCGCTTACGAGGAGTACAAGTCTTTTAACAATTCCCGGGTTGAGAGCCAAACCTTTGACGCGGAAAACGATGATGATGAGGAAGAGGGGGAGAATGAGGACGACAGCGGTAGGTTTGTAGCTCACAAACAGCATCATAGTGAGATAACGGATGTGAGCTCATATTTTTATCTGTTCATCCCAAAACAGACCAAGATCCCCATGAACACAGTGCACGTCCAGGCAAAGATGGGTAAGAGAACCTCTGTTTCTTTACTATTTAAGCCAGTGTTTTTCAACCTTTTTTGAGCCAAGGTAAATTTTATCATAGAAAAAATCACGAGGCACACCACCAACCAAAAATGTTAAACAAATCTGTAGCCGCCTATAGTAACACTATAGTTATTCTTATTTTATTCTTATCTTATCTTAACTGTCGTGAATAGGAATCAAATAAACACAAAAATGTATTTTTATCATATTTTATATTTCTTATTTCAAATTGTACTTAAAATGTCCACTTCAATATACAAAATTATATACAAAATCTAGTCATAAGGAATTACGCCACCAGTCACTACTACGGCACAGACACTCAAAAATGGCGTATTATTTGCAGATAATTAATTCCTTATCAAAAAATCTTTTTAGACCAATTAGGTGAAATAGGATGATTTTCTACGACACACCTGACGATCACTCGCGGCACACTAGTGTGCCGAGGCACAGTGGTTGAAAAACACTGATTTAAGCTACTCTTTGGTTTTGATTTCACCTTCCTCACCGTGTGTTCAGACGCCCAGCGTTCGCACATGTGGCGGTAGTCCGCAAGAAAGACGAAAGAAGGAAACTGAAGGGCACCACCTGCAAAGAATGTGAAGTTGTGAGTATTTTATGTTTCTTTCTTCCTTTTTTTTCCTGCTGCTGTTAAAGTCATTGCGGTTTCCCGCAGTATTACGCTCATCTGCCAGAAGGGGAGAAACAGAAGAAACTCTCAGCTTGTTCGAGGCACCGCTTTCTATACATTCCTCCCTGCACTCCGGAGAACTTTTGGGAGGTCGGGTTCCCATCGACCCAAACCTGCATTGACAGAGGTAGGAGAGAGGTTCTAGCTGGTTTATCTGAATTTAGGCGCGTGGCAGAGGTCAGCCAGTCTCTTTGCTCTCTGTTCCAGGTTACATCAGGGAAGAGAAGAATCCTCAGGCGCGTTTGAGGAGAAGACAACCTTTGAATGCTTTATTCTCCCCGAAGCAAAAGCAACCGCGTTCTTAGAACTAGTTTGAAGAATGGGATGTTCCTGCAAGTTTGTTTTGCAGGGACAGAATTGCACAGGCTGGCCTAACGGACTAATATTGTGCTCTCACAAGATGGTGTTTGTGAAAAATAAAACATTGGTATGCAATTTTTCATCGTCGTTTGTGCCCCATGTATCCAAATATACAAATACTGTACAGTATGGGGACTTTTTTTGTTTGTGTACTGGGATCAGTCCTCTACAGCAACCTCAAACAACACCTCCAATTGTTTGAATTATATAGGAAAATGGAGACTGAAAGACAATATGTAAACAGTTTTATTTGGTTTGTCGATTACATAAGCACACAGTAGAAATGAAAATACAAATACAAAAGTAAGTATTAAAAAAAGAAAAAATCTCTTTACAAAGGCTGTTTCATTGGGAACTTTTTCAGGGTTGAGAATCTCTGTCTGAATACACCAGCAGGGCCTCTCCAAGGTGACTGGTGACCACGCTGTAACAGACAAAAGAAATTCAGAGATAAAACAGCCACCCTGCACACAATTTAAACATGCTCTGAGACTTGATCTTTCTTTGGATGCTGTTGAATCGCGTAATTACCAAAATATGGAAGGGGCGTTCATGTCCACATCGAAGATGAACGGGGAGAGGAACATGGCAGTTACCTGAGAGAAAATGGTACTAGTGTTACTCAAAAACATGAATCAGCTTTGTCTACAATGGATGTGATTTTCATTGAGGTTGAAGGAAAACAACTTTACCTTCGACAATAACATCCATACCCTGAAGTGCATAAAGGACAGGCCACGTTTGAGCTTAACTGTCGTTAACAGTAACAAAAAACCCAGCAAGGCACTGAAGAGAGAACAAAAGTTTTTTTAAGAGCCATCTTTCGAGCAAAGTCCATCCAAAAGTCTTTCTTGCATAAAAGATCAATATGTATCATTAAAACTGCTCAGTGAAAAGCTTTTGGATTGCCCTAAGTGGCATCCTAAACCTGCAACTAAACAGTATGAAACACTTTTTTAATTCAATATTCTCATCGGCAGGGGGAAAAAAAGATGGTCTCACCTGGCACAGCAGCCACAGTGAAATAGGTTGTAGTGCAGAGAGGGAAACTCCAGAGCACCAGTGAGGTCACCTGTACAGGGTTTAAAGACTTTAAATATGCCAAATATCAACCTGGAGCCTGAGTTTACATCAGCATGGGGTCAATCATACCTGTTGGGTGAGCAGCCAGGGCAAGCAGCAGCACACTTAATTCAGGATAAAGAAACAAAACCGAGTGTTAAGATACCTGAAAGTAATCAAGGTTGCATAATCGATTCTATTCGCAAAAGAAGGAATAGGAGAATAATCCATCAATATTGACAAGTGAGTCTGACACATTTCCGTTGAATAGTGAGGAAGGTGTCATAACTGGAAACTAGACATGCTATTCTGATGATAAATTAAAAGGCAAAAAAAAATTGTAGACAACAAATGCTGTGACAGATAATTGAAAGGAGTCTTCTCTGGATGTATTAATTAGATTAAGAAAATGTTGAATGTGATGTATATCCATCCATCCATCCATTATCAATACCGAATGTGATGTATAAATCATTGCAATTTATTAACTAAATTAAGTCAAATGTCAGTAAATCTGAAAGCTTCTTTTCAATCAGCATTTCATGGAAAAAATGTACTCAGTAATTTTCCATTTGGCCATGAATTTTATCCAACTATTTACATAAGTTCCTACCTGAACAAGTAGTTGATGCACTGTTGCTCAAAATCACTACAATGAAAAAATCACTTTCAGTTCCTGATATGTGAACATTTAGATTTGTAAAATGAGATTAACTAGTTTTTATCTCAGACTTACCTCATGTTATTGGTCTTGTAATGAACCTGAAATGCCCTGTACGAACCTGAAAAGCAAATGTTAAACATACAACATTTGTAGCCGCAGAGGCATTAGAAGCCAAAGTGTTTTATTGAGTGAAACCAGATATTGATAAGGGGGTACCGTGAAGACAGATCAATGCAGATAGGATTTTTCTTCATGGTGACTATTGTGAGAAAACTTAAACCTACCCTCAGACAACTGATTTACTGATAAAAGTATGATCTTTCTTTGTTTACTCCAGCTTGAAATGGGGCTTGTAAATATCGTGTAAACACTTAGTTCTGGTCAAAACACGGGATGTGGTTGAGATTATAAATGATGAATGATGGGACAAATATCTTGATAGATAAAATCCTAAAGATGTAACAGAATTTGCTCTGTAATGTGCTCAAAATAGAAAATAAAGAAGACCCTATTTAATGGCATTCTTCATCATAGGGGGGAAAAGCCAGGTTAAAACTACCACTGTTAACTAACCCTAACCATAATCTGACTTTAAAGTACGGCCTTCTGGCTGAGTCGGCTTTAATAGTCTCTCATCTTCAAAATTACAGAATACCAGCTGCTTATGCCTCCTACTACTTAGTTAAGATATATTCTTAGACTTACCGACGCACATCAGATGACAGACACCCCACCAGTAACTGCTGTAGTCAAACTGGAAAAATGTGAAAAGTAAAAAAATGTCTATTGCATCGTCAAAACATAATCCACCATTTTGCAGTATGATGGAGTATTGTTACCTTGGGGTCATACAGGGGAAGGGTGATGGCTGAGACAAGCATAAAGCATATACTGTGGGAGGAAGACAGCCACTACAGATGAGCTCATGCCACAAAAAGAAACATAACCTCTGAGCATCCATACCGCAGCTACTTTTGATAGAACAAGACCAAAACAAATACCTGATAAATCGAAGCCAGGATGTCTTCTAATGGAGAACAAAGATAGAAAAAGCATATTATAGAAAAGGTACAACTTCATTAAAGTGGCTGGTGGCTCTTTAATTCAGCAATTTGGTACCATTGAATATATAGCAATGGTGCCCTTACCTCTCTGTGGAAGATCTTCATGATAATACAGCTGACAACATGAGAGGAATTCTGAAGAGTGAAGAAAAACGGAATGTCCTGCACAGACAGGAATAATTGTATAAATCATAAAGTGTACTGTCATAGTGTTCATTGCATTATTGCAGGCCACAGCAGATATTCTGGAAGGCCACTCACTATGCGGGATAAGGCCCTGGAACCAGCGTATATGTTTCCCACAAAGAGGCACGAGCCCGGAAGCCAGGAGAGAACAGCCGATCTGTAGGACATTGAGATGGAATAATCTAATACGGTTCAGATGGTAGCCGATAAGTATGACTAGGATATGTACCTTGTGATGCGGCTCATCTCCACCCATCCGAATTTTACAGACAGCAAAAGCAGGAGAGCTCCAACAAGTGTTTGCCATCTAAAAATAAATTGAGCATTTAGTCAATACATAAAAAGCTTTTATTAAAAAAGTCATTTATTTTAGAAAAAAGTATTTTTTTTTATCAAAACAATTAATCTTTAAATGCCCCATGAGTGTCTCCTTCCATGCACTTACCCTTGAAATAAGGTTGGATAGGTGAATTTTAACACAGACAGGACAAACTGCAAAAAGACAAAGATGAATTAAGCTTATGTGCTTGCTATTTGCAACTTATTTTGGTGCTGAACACACCGATCCCCATTGCTAATAGTTCAATTCAGTACAAATGTCTGTAACTGTCTTTATGATTTGTTCAAGGGAATGTTTAATCATGATTTGGGATTACTGTTAATCACTTTTACACGTTCTTTTTGGCTATTATCTAAATATTTCTACCTATCTGACAGCTGAGGTGTCCGAAATGCTGCTTTCACGTCACTCTGAATGAGCGGTAAATGACGATTATGTAGGTTACACAGCAAACTTGCTTTTCTTGATAAGGACGTTAATATAGAGCTGACTAGTTGCCATTTCAATCAAAGTGACTTAATATTCTGATGATGTTTGGCTCTTGGCACCCAAACAGTTCAGCTGTCTACGCTGTCCGTCGATACGTCGCATCCCCTGAACACTCACCTTATTCGTGAAATACGAAACAACGAAAACAAAGCTAAAGGCGATACCACTAATGTGTCTTCTCCACTGCATATTGACCTGCAGATATACTGAGACAGACACATGGCTTTCTATAATAACTTACACGAAAAAAATAAATATAACGTACACCATGGTCAGAAACTTCCCCCAATGTTCTAACGCGACGTTAAGACGTTAAAGAACAAAGATCGTCTATGATAGAGATGCACATCCACTATCTGTGCATTAAGCTATTTAGGATTGAACCGTTGGAACCTTTCTCTCTGTTTTTAAGAAAATAAAATAATTTTCAATGAATTCTTAGGTGATAATCTGCAACGTGGCCAAAGACCTTATGATTTATTTTCCCGTGAGCCTATCTGTCATGACACAAGGAAACGGCACACGTCGCAAGGCGCTTTCTATGGAATTTGCGCTCCACTGATATCACCGTGAAATCGGCTCAGAGGATGACCTCTTGCTTTATGACTGCCTCTGCTGAAATGTCATTTATCCGGGATTCGGTCACGTGGTGACAAGCAAGTTTCCGTGTTTACAGGGCTCCGGCTATCAGTGGTCTGCTCGGGGTGTTGAGTTTCCGAGGAGGATGCTGAGCAGTCATGGCATTTTTTAGGACTCAAGAGCGAACCAAAGAAAGGTTTGTGCCGTCTCGTCTTCTGCCAGAAAGGCCATTGCGCGGTAACGGCCCCGGGCTGTTTCCCTCCCTCACTGCGGATGGATATCATTTCCAGCGCCAGTGCTCGCTAATGAGGGCTTCGCTGTCAGCTGTGAGATGCCCTCTGCCTATTGAACTCAAGAACAGCGGCCTCGGATGTCGTCAGTCTGTTGTTTAACTGTGAGCAAGGACTGACTGCCTCACGGCAGCTTTTATGTGTCAAGGCAGTGAAAAATATCCCCAAACCATTTTTTTTCCGGTTATAAAAATGAAAGAAAAACTAACACTAAGAACTGCGTATCAACTTTGTGGTGTACCTCTGTTTGTTTGTCGCTGTATGCTAAGACTGTGTAGCCGCCAAGGTATTGCACCCTTTAAGTGATGTCTTTCAGGGTTTTATTCTAATTTGGGAGAGCAGCTGCTCATCTCAGTAGAAGGATTTAAATTGTTAGTATTGTGTAAACCTATCTGAACTGGTTAAATGAGGCTTTAACAAGGTGGTAAAAAACTCAGGAGAACCTCTTTGTTTAAGTGGCAGTTTGAGGACATTTATTTGAGAGACGTGGGAAATCCGAGGCTTTCTCAATAGTTAGCCTTTTCGGATTCCTTTTTGCTCTTTTACTCGCACCACGTCTTCACTGGAGTTTAAAAGTGGCACATTAGGGTCAGACAGACGTTTAAATACATGACTTCTCACTATAGAAAGACATTTACAGCTTTATATAAAAATATCGTTCGTCCTGTCACTTGAATGGTTCTGTATAGCTCGAGAAATAGAAGGTTGGAGCAAAAAATATGCTCTCCTGAAGGGTCAATGTGGCCTTTTGGTGAAGTCTGTGGTGCTTTATTTGTAGTCAGTGTTATTGTGTATGTGCTATTTGAAAATGAGAGCTAGAATGTCTGAAGTAGTAAAATGAAAGTTTTAGCATGTCACCTCCTTTTACCAACGCGCTTAAAAGGTTCTGTAAAGGAAGTGTGTGTGATAGTTTCTAAACCTATGGTGTAAACACTGGTGTAATGTGTTGAACTCTGTGCCATTGTAAGCAAAAACGCCTCGAGTTTTAAAATGCAGAAGCAGGAACAGTCCTTATATGGCATCCTAGTGCTCTATACAGCATTGAATAAATTGCTTTAGTTTTTGGACTTTATTGTTTTTTTTGGTACCATCACTTCACAGCAGGAGGAATCCCAATTCGAAACATCTGTGTGGAGATTGCATGGGCTCACTCCAGGTGCTCCAGCTTCCTCCCGCAAAGTGTGATTGAAGACTCTAAATTGAGACTAGGAGTGAGAGTGTATGCGTGTCTGTCTCATTTGTCTTCGTGTGGCCCTCTGATGGAGTTGTAACATGTCCAGTGTCTACGCAGCCTCTGGCCCAATAACGGCAAAGATCGGCTGCAAATGAGCCATAATTCTAACCAGGTATTCTCACAGTATGGTTTCTGAGTAGTAAACGAAGCAAAGTCCTGCCAGTGAAGGAGAAAGCACATTTCATATATTGACTGATGGCGGGTTGTCTGTTAGTACCGACTCGGCTCTACTTGACTTGGCACGGCTCGGTTTAGACGGTTTTATATAACAAATGAGCTCCTGACTGAAAGAGGGGCCGTCAGGCCCATGCTGTCATTTGCATGTGATGCAAGCAGAGACAACGGTGAAGGACATCACAGAGACAACGTAATGGACCTCATGATGGTTCGTGTATTAAGGATCTACAGCTCTGATAATGACAAAAATAATTGAATCTGTCCTTTAATGTTGCTGCGTTTTTTAAATAGGTAGGGTTCTCATGGAGGGGTTCTTTTCAAGACTTATTCAGCCATGTGACTCCCTGGCCAATCAGCGCCAGCGACCCCGCTCGTTAGAACCCCGGCCGAGTTGGTGCTGTTTGAAGGTGCCAGTCACTAATGGAAATGCAAAGAAAACAAGTAGAGTTTATCGAGTTGCCATGGATAGTTCTTAGTGGGAAAGTCCCATTAGACCGAATTGGGGAAAACACTGTGATTTGCTAAATTTTAAACACTTCTGAGAAATGAAGTCTTTTTACTATTGAAAATAATAATATTAATTTTAATTCCCTCATTATGCATTGTGAAGTTTTGTGCAATACTAGTTTGAACAGTCAAGTGGGAGAACAGCCCAATTTGGAATGTTTTCAGTGTAATTTGTCTTGATGCCATCAAAGTTAGGAGGAAAGAACGTGCTCTGGGTGTAGCTCTCGGTGTAGCACTGTGTGGTTAACTTTGCTGTTTTTTTTGTCCCCCCCAGGTTTTCTCTCTTGCTGCTGGATTTGGAGGAATACTTCTTTGAGCAACACACTGCATACCATGTGACAAGCCGGTCAAAAAAGGAGAGGTAAGTCAAAATTTTGTGAGGCTTCCCCATCTTCATCTAATCTTTAATACGTAATGAAATTACTTTGCGAGTTTTCTCTCAAACGATGGAAAACATGTCTTCCATGTGGGAAAACTAATACGTCTGAATAAAAACGTTTAAAAAGCTTAGTTAGATATCTTTATATCTAAAAACACAATACATTTGTAAAACTTTGCCTTTCAGTGTGTTTTGATTATTTTTTTGTTTACATATATCAATGTTAAAGATATGAAGACTCTCTTTGCATAAGATATAAAAACAAAATACTTTTTCCTTTGATGTGTTTTAAATAATCCTGTTAGTTTTTCCCTTCATTATATATATCTTTTTGAAGTTTTCCCAAATGATTTTTTAAAATCTTAGAATATTTATTTAATGTAACATCTATCGTCTCTACTAAAGATTGTGCTGATATGCTAAAGTTAGCTTTTCTCATTTCAGAAAAATCAGGGGTTCGTTGAAGGTTTGTTCCAGATCTGTCATTTTTGATCCAGAAGATCTCACAGAGCCAATTATTAAGGTTTGCTTTGATAATATTTATACATTTGTTTCTTTCTATCTAACACGGACAAATATTTGAAATTATAGACTTGAAAAGTTGCACAAATAATTTCTCTTGTGATCAGATGTCGGGATTTTTAAAAATTAAAATGAGCCTCTTTACATTCACAGGTAGGGCAAAATGGAATTATATATAGTTTGTCATATTTATTTGCATGAAGTTTTTACTTGTAAAAAACAGGATTTTTTTGCTTTTTGTAGATTCCGCTGCGGGACTGTAAGAAGATTGAGTTTGTGGAGAAAGAAAACAACCCTTTCAATGAGTGAGCACAGTTTATTCTCTGTACACCAAACTCGTTTATTTAGTTTGTCCAACTGGTTGGGTTACCTCTCTAAAAATGGCCCAGGGGTGTTTTGCATCTGCACATAAAAACTAAAGTTGAAACATTCTCAAGTTACTGGGTTTTACCCTTGTTTAACACTGAGTTTAGTTTTTGAGAAAGCTGCTGGTTTGTTGAATCTTTACATTTTTAAGAATAAAGTTTGATGTTTGGTTCTTTTAGCCCATCTGATTTGCTTTTCTTTAAATATTTTTCTCTCTTTAACGCAGACCTAAACCACCAATCATGTCTATTTCATGTGAACAGGTGAGGAATGATTATAAGACTTTAGTAAATGGTCAAATTTAGTGTTTTCTTGTCTTAAACAGTTTCTAACTTTGCGATGTTTGTTTAGACTTTGCTTCAAATCCAAAGCACAAATTTTTCATTTCAGGTTATTTTCATCAAAGAGAGCAACGTCATATCACCTTACCGGAATGAGAGGGTGAGTCAGCTTCACTTTCCAAGTGGTTTGTCTGTGCTGTGACAATCTGATGATACAAATCAAATCATGATTACTGTTGTTGCCTCAGCCGATTTTGAAGGTGACATTAATTATAATGATCTGCATAACCCCTCATTTAGGGTAGTGTTTGTTGCCTTTCTTTGAATGACTTTTTGTGTTCTGGACTGATCACCTTTGTAGGGAACAAACAAAGTGACATTTCAGTTGGAAGTTTGGAATAAAACAGAAGATGTTGTACAGACATTACTGCAGGTAAGCAGTGAGTTACTGTGTTTCTGTAATCTTCCACATGATCATGTAGTACGTTCATCTGTCAGGGTTCAGCTGTTTTAGTGTGTTCATTTCTCTTGCTCACCTGTTTTGTAAATTGTGATAGCTCCACAGAGCTTCCTGCTTGGACAAATTAGGGGACCAGACTGCAATGGTGAGTTTATCTTTGCTAAGTTTTCATTCAGTCTTGAAAGCCTTAAATAAAAATATGAGCAACTGTGGAACCTTTACTTTTTGAAAACCATTTAAACAATTTTCTCTCTGCCAATATCAAGATTGCTGCTAATCTACAGTCACGACTCGCAAGGTCATCGTTTGACAAGAACTGGTATGTAAAGCACACGTCATGTTAATTTGAACAGACTAGCACTGTAGAGTTGGGCTCTGATGGTAATCTGCTGTAAAGCTTTCAGAGTGTTGCAGAAAAGCCTCACATGGAGTGTGCAGTAGAGATGGTCATGCCTCTGGTATCCAATCCCGGCCACGTCTGCATAACAGATGAAAACCTCTACTTCCAGCCTCTCAATGGATATCCGGTAAGCTGATAAAGTGGCCGCTCGAATGGGGCATTTGTAACGTGATACCTGCAGTGCTTTCAGTTATTCTCAGCTGAACAACAGTAACCTCACATCTCATTTCAGGAGCATGTGATTCAAATAAAACTGCACCAAGTCAGGAGAATCTACAAAAGACGGCACGGGCTAAGACCTCTGGTAAGGAACACTTGCAGGCTCAATAGGGATCCTATTTCTTTTAGTTAAATTCACTTTAACTCGTGACTTATAACATTAGCTATCACTCCTCTTTATTTCTGCACAGCGTGGTGAATGGTTCTGTGTTCATGTTTTCGTGCTCAGGGACTTGAGGTGTTCTGCACTGAGAATGACTTCTGCTCGGACATCTACCTGAAGTTTTACAACACAGCTGACAGAGATGAAATCTATTACTACATTGCTACTTTCCTGGGTGAGAAATATGTTTATATGTCTTTCTGTTATCTGTAATAGTTTTATAAGTTTGATTATTTTCCTTCATTTGTTTCAAACTTGTTTCTGTCCTTTTTCCTGCCTGATAAAGCACAGAGTTTTAATTGAACAAGTGATCTGAGTAGATTTTGATGGATTCATTGACAGAAACATCCTCTTCATTCTAATCTGTGGCCTTTTATCATCTGATTTCCAGCCGTCATCTGGAGCACCTCTGACTCCTCAGGCCTCCTTATTCCAAACAGTTCTACAAGACACATCACAATTAACTTTGCTTTTATTAAGTTGTGCTCAGCAGTTTTTCTGGGAAATGTGTGCATAAAACAGCTACAGTATCATCACCATTAGCAGCGCTTTGCACTCAGATGTTTTCTGAATGTGATTCCTGTCAATCTGCTGCTTTTAAAAATGTGGTTTTTAAGGGAAGTTAACCCTGTACCCTGTTTATAATGAAACATGGTATATGAAAATATCTCCCAACATCTTTATGCCAAGATCCTGAAATATGGAAATTTAAAAATGTCATTCTGTTGGGTTTGTTCAGAAAATCACGTGACTGAACACACGGCAGAGAGTTACATGTTGCAGTGGCAGCGCGGCCATCTCAGTAACTACCAGTATCTCCTCCACCTAAACAACCTGGCCGACCGCAGCTGCAACGACCTCTCCCAGTACCCCGTCTTCCCCTGGGTCATTGCTGACTATACCAGCACACAGTTAGGTGGGAGCGATATCTTGTTCCTGCTGCGTCTTACTGTAGGAGCTCATATTCCGCTCATATCGTGGACATTTTTGTTTTTCAGACTTGACAAACGCTGACACATTCAGAGACCTGAGCAAACCTGTGGGGGCTCTGAATAAAGAGCGGCTGGACAGATTACTGGTGAGAGGATGATTGATGCAGATGGCTTCTGTGCTGGAACTGTCTCCTCAGTAGCTCCTCAGTAATCGCTGAGTCATTCTGTTCTCACAGTCCCGCTACAGAGGCATGCCCGAACCTCGCTTCATGTTCGGGAGTCACTACTCGTCTCCAGGCTACGTTCTCTTTTACCTGGTCAGAGTCGGTACGTCTCAGTAGTTTAAAGCATGCAACATTAGCATCTCTTTCTGCCATACTCACACTTACTCACATAAAAGTGAGTGTTCAGTCTGAGTGAACTCCTGTTGAAGCAGTCCTCTTCCCTGCAGCTCCAGAGCACATGTTGTGCCTCCAGAATGGCCGATATGACCATGCAGACCGCATGTTTAACAGGTACGGCTTCATAAGATGAAAGTGGGAAGAAAATCCATTAGCATTTACTTACACCTTCTCATGCCTTACAGCATCAGAGAAACTTGGAAAAACTGCCTCGAAGGTGCAACAGACTTCAAAGAGGTGAAAATATTCATCCACACTTCTCCATCAACCCAACTTTAAAGGCCAGACTGAAAATCTAGAAAAGAAAACGACAAAACCTTTCAATTTCTGTATGACAACGTTTTTTTCTGTGTCTGCCACTGCAGCTGATTCCAGAGTTTTATGGGAGTGATTCCAGCTTCCTGGAAAATAGGCTGAACCTCGATCTGGGAAGAAAGCAGAATGGGCGGTCAGTTGGGGATGTCGTCCTCCCACCTTGGGCCTCGGGTGAGTTTCCTTTGGGCATCTTGTCCTGTGTCATATTGCCAGTCATGTTGAGAAGAAGAACAAATATTTCCTTCTGCCAAATAAGCTCTGGTCTTTGTTGCCCCAGATGCCAGCGATTTCCTTAGAAAGCATAAGACGGCTCTGGAGAGTCAGTATGTCTCGGAGCACCTTCATGAATGGATCGACCTGGTGTTTGGCTTCAAGCAGAAAGGAAGTGAAGCTGTGGCAGCTCATAACGGTAAAACGGCCACATCGAGTTCCAGCATCACACACACGCTTGCTGCTCAGTCGCTGATATTTCCCTTTTTGTCTCTCAGTGTTTCACCCACTGACCTACGAAGGAGGCATCGACTGTGACAGGTGTAACAGAAAATCCTTTCATTTACTGTTCCAAACATTTCTGTTACATCACGGCTAACGTTTCCCCTCCATCTCTCTGGGAAGCATTGAGGACACGGATCAGAGAATCGCCATGCTGACGCAGATTCTGGAGTTCGGCCAGACGCCCAAACAGCTGTTCACCAGCCCGCACCCTCAGAGGATCACACCGAGGTTCCAGAACATCACACGAAGCCCCAGCATTAACTCTCCCATCAGTGAGCTGTCTCCAGGTAACGCCCCATCAGAAAAAGACAGCCGACAATGTATGATGACAGCAGCAGAGAGCTTTGAGACCCATAGCTGCCTTTGTCAGTGGTAGTTCAGAGCCATGCTGTCTGGGACATGTTATACTCTAAACTTGTAAAAAACAAAACAAAAACTGTAAAACTAATCTTGGATCTCTTTCTCATTTGGGCAAAGCTTCACCCATCAAATGAGAATAACACAGATCAGAAAATGCCAGGGTAAAAAGAGTAAATAATTATTTTTTTATTTGAGAAATGTATCCGCCTCAGTCACATAAAATCACTTTAAATTCATTCAGCATGAAAGCTTCTTTCATTTGTAATCATATTGAAGATTATTCTGCAAAAAGGGGAAAGTGCCCTTTATCCCAGTTCACGAAGCTTCTGGGAAGATTTAGCAGGAACACACCCTTTTTGGAAGTCTATTAGGTCTGTAAATAACAAAGAAGTTTGTTCAAATGTAGAGGAACCAGTAACAGACGGCTGTTACAGCTGGCAGTGTTCTCAGGAAAAAATCCACTGCGCATTTGAACCTAAGGATGCATGCCTGAAAAGATCGGTGACAAAAATGTTCCAGTTTAGAACTTATAATAGCATTCAGATAGTTTCCAGTAACCTTTTAAAGCCTTGTCACGTGTGCACTGGGAGCTGTACGGCACCATCAGAAGTACATTAAATGTTTTATGTCTATGTAACTAAACTGTAACAAAAATGGAAGGTTAATTTACACCTTTCTATTTACAGAATGTAAGGATTTGTTAACTATATATCAGTTCCAAGATAGTGGTCACATCAGCATCCCACAGAAAGTCAACCCATAAGCTGGATACCTTATTCGGCCACTTACGTACAGCAGGCCTGTCTCAGTAATGCTTAGTAATGAACCCTGTGTTGTTCACAGCCTCCCAGAGTGACGACTCGTCATTTGAAGACCTGACTGAGGAGAGCAGGAAGCTGGCCTGGGCAAACATGGGAAGTCTGAAGCTCATCTCCAGCCACAAGATCCATAAGGAGTAAGTCGGGGGCGATGAGCTTGGCCACAGCAACAATGAAGCCCATCTGTATTGAATTAAAGTTCTGCTTGAAATGGGAGGTGCATATCATCTTAGGTTTATTTTCAAATATTTTATCTTTTGAAATAATCATATCTGTTAAATGAGCAGAGCTGTGACAGGCATTGCTGTGACCCGAGACGGAGCATCTATTTTCTCTACATCGCAAGGTGAGACACAGTATCTAAACCCAAACATATGTATTTAAAAAAATATTCCAGGCCTCATTATTGTCTCAGTGGGACAGCAGGACAGGTAGATTGATTACACATTTTAAGTTGAATGTTGGGTAAAATTCAGATGTATCATTCTTTATTCCAGACTCAACACTTAAGATGTTTTCCAGAGAGCTGAAGGAATTCCAGAGAAGCATGTCCTTCTCTAACATGGTACACAGCTGTTTGCACATGCCTCTGTATATCTTCTTGTGTTCTTCTCCAGTTCTGAACAGAACACCTTTGACTGTCTTTCAGGCATTATCCTCTTGTTTGATGCTGTCGGATGGTAAAACAGTTGTGTGTTCTTCGTGGGACAACAATGTGTAAAATTACATATATATAATATATTAAGGGCTCGTTTGTGGTGGTCTTCCTCCCTGACCTGATCTTTCTGCCTCAGATATTTCTACTCAATCCCATACGGCCGGCGGCAGGACACACTGATGGGCCACGATGACGCCGTCAGTGAGGTGTGTTGGTTCGATGACCGACTTTACACAGCCTCCTGGGATTCCACTGTTAAGGTAATAACTCAAAACCAATCAAGTTTGTTTTAAAGCCGAAAATCCATGAGACATATTGTTAACATCAACACACTGTTTTTCTTTAATGATCTTTTCCAGCCGTTTTATTTTTTTTAACTGTTTGTTCCACAGGTCTGGCAGTGTGCTGTTAACAGCTCATCCAGTCACAAGAGATCCCAGTTTGAGCTGCTGGCTGAGTTGGAGCATGACGCTGGTGTGAGTTAACCGTGGCTGCAGATGTTTATTTAGCTGAACAGCTGCTTCTTTCGAGAGTTAAACTGTGTGTGTAAACAACCTCTGTGACTGGACAGAATCAATAGGCTTCTATTTAGATTTACTTTTTTTTAAAAAGAAGTATTATTATGATTTTTACTGAAGTTAGGAAAAATTCTGCCAGGGTGGTAGTAAGATTGTTTATCTGCCATGATATTTCATGTGAAGGTGAACACTGTGGGCCTGAACCCAGCTGGGACTCTTCTGGTGTCTGGCTGTAAAGATGGGACAGTCTTCATCTGGGACACCGACAGCTACAGAACTCTACAGCAAGTCCAGTGCCACGATGGCACCATTCACCACCTCGCCTTCAGTCCTGGTATGATCATCATCCTGCTTTAGTGAAAGTGTATTACGATCAGATTAAACCACATGTAAAAATGTTTAGATTGTGAACTCCGACCCTCATGCAGTTGATGAACATCATCAACCTGTAAGACACACAGCAGGTTGGTCTCTGTCTCCCCTGTAAGAGGCTGACATCTACAGTCCGTTTAGAAAAACAAAAAGGTCCAAAATCTTTTAGTGATCAGACTGTCCTACAATCTTTCCCTTAAAAAAGGGCTATAAAACATGACACACATTAGAATAATAGAGTTTAAAGTTTTCCTTTAAAGATCTGTGTATTAAATGAAGAAATTCACAGCTCTGTGTCTGATTGTCCTCAGACAGCCGCCACGTTCTCAGTGTGGGTGCAGACTCCTGCATGAAGGTCATAGATGTTCAGACAGGAATGGTGATCTCCTCAGTGAGGGCTGAGGAGGAGCAGAGGTATGGCCTCAGTTTACAGCAGTGTTTTTGTTTTCCCTTCCAGCTGATTTTCAAGACTTGACAGTCTGATCTTTACACAAGTTAACAACTGGGTGTGTGTGCAGGTGCTTCTACTGGGACGGGAACACAGTGCTGAGTGGAGGAAAGTCCGGTGCCCTCTTTCTGTGGGACCTGCTCAGCAACACCGTCACCAAGAAGATCCCTGCACACTCAGGTAAAACTGCCCTGCACACAGTTAACAATCCTAATGTTTATGAGGAAGTTTTCAGAATGAGCTGTTTGACTGAAAAGCACTAAGTCAGAATTCTTAAAGTTAAGGGATTGTTGGCAATTTCTCCATGGTGGGAAAATAAAAATGACCTCTTCATGTTGGGCTTAAATTCAGGGCTTGGTTCTCATGTATTCCATCAGGGCAGTTGGAAACATTGGATTCCAACAATGTTTGCAGCAGAGACGATGCCATCACTTTGAAATCACGTCAAATCACTATTTTTTATCATTTAACGTTTACCCATTAATTTCCAGAGGCTTCCTGCTTCATAATTCATAGGACAAATTTAATCTATACAATGAATCAGCAGACATCATCACTGATCCCGATGAAGAGAATAGTTGGTGGCAATCATTCTGGGAAAGCTTAAAAAGCCATTTACCAACAAGAGTCCATTTTTCTGTTGTGAGAAAGACGATCATCAAGGTAGACATGATGAAAACGGTAGACAAGTGGGTCAGACTATGCTCAGAGATTCTGTGACAAACCCAAAGATTCCATCTTACATCGTACAGGCCTCAGTTAGCATATCGCTGAGCCTCCTAGCTTCATTTATCCTAACTCTGAGATAAACATGTAGCCATCAGACAGCAAAAACTGCTCAGAGCTCAGACCTGACAGAAGGAAATGCTGATGTGGAACCATGAGAGCTGTGGACAAGAGAGTACACTTATCCTCCTTTACAGAAATTCGAGAAACTTACAATTGAATTCAAAAAGATCTTTTTCAAGAAATGATTCTACAAACTTTTTAAACAAGTCTGCACTTATTTGATACAAAATTTTTCTGCCTTTTGGTTTAGTTTTCATTGAACAAGCAGTGACAATGTTATATTTACTCATATCCATCCAAAATTATCGCAACCTCACTTCAGGACCTGGTGGGGATTTGTCCTTTGGAATGTCCTTTTCTTACATGATTACCAATTTGTCTTTTTTCTTCATGTAGACTAAATTAGATGATCATTTTTACACTTTTAAAATAGATAAAGACGTTGTCTACTTGGTACAGGTGCTGTCACAGCCATGTGGATGAACGAGCTGTGCACCTCAGTGATCACAGGCGGAGAGGACCGGCAGATCATCTTCTGGAAGCTCCAGTGTTAAAGGCCGGTTTCTGCAGAGCAGAGCCCACCAGCTGGGAAGCTGAACCAGTGCAGCATACCGGACAATACAGGCCACTAAGCCTACAGACTAAGAACAAGAAAAAGACTCGCTCAACAAAAACGACAAGAGGTGAACGCCTGCGTGAAGTGTCTCAGAGTACCATTCATTGCTCCCAATTGTGAGACAGACTTGTGTGTCACCGTTCCTAAGAGAAGACGTCCAACTGCTGTTTCTGCATGAGAGCAGGAAGCTAAAACAGTGTCCACACCTTATTTTTCACTTCTGCTTTTATCTTTTTTTTCATGCGTTTGTGTGGGTTTTAACTTTTGCTACGCATCATAATATTCTGAGGGCCTCCTGCAGATTTAATTCATGGATGTATGTTACTCTGCTCTTTTAGCAATCATGAGTCTGCTTACTTGTGTGTGTATTTTATTCTTTAGCGTGGACTCAGCATCAGAGCTTAATGCTACTCAGGTGTTATTACAAAACACAGTTACCTCTAAAACGTCTCTGTGTTTTTTTGCTTTTTGCACAGAAACGCCATGTATGATGTGGAGTTCTTTCAAAGATGCTGAAAGAATTTGGTCATGGAGAGGCAGAAAATGAAAAAGAAAATACTGTACTTTTTACTTTGCCAAATTGGACCTGCAAGGAAATGAGTGAGGTGAAGACCAGAGGAAATGTTCTGAGATTCTGATTTTAAATAAGCCCCCACCAAAAACCCCACAGTGTTGTGATCATTCAATGTCTGCCTTATGGACCTAAAGAGAAGGCCACACAAATCTAAGAAAATAAACAAGTCTTAACTCTAAATTCCTTCAAATCCTGAGGTTAGACAGTAGGTGGTGCTCTTGCCTCCCACACAAGTTTTCCAGTTTGTGCAACTTAAATTAGCTCAATTCCAGAAAGAGAAGTCCAGTCTGAGGCGTTCAAAGAGTTAAACTTCTTTCAAGTAGCAAAACAAAAAACAGAGGACAGATTTTGTAGTAAAGGATGAAGGCTTTTTATATGAAAATTTACAGCAAATGCATTTTGACATCTAAATGAACTCTGGTCTAGTATAAGCTGTTTGAGTGATGAGGAATGTTCTTACATTAGAGTTAAAATGGCCCTATTTCCATTCTAGATGCAGCTCTTTGAGCTGGTCTTGGTGGTCTTTGAGGTTAGGAATCCTTTCACACTTTTCCATGTGAGCGTGTCAACAGCCAGATAAAACACAGTATCACAGGGAAGATCTCATTGCTGCTCTTCTGCGGCTTTCTGCAAAAACCAGACAAGACAAGCCACATTAACATTCGCTCACATGATGGGATGAGCAGATTTGGCATGGTTCCCGCTGATTATCAGCACTAACAAGCGTCTGTGGACAGTTTTACCTTGAGCTTGTCCAGGATACCTCCTTTTCGAAAGTTCCCAAAAGCTTTAAGGAATTTTGGAGTTGGTGGTTTTGGTCCAAACAGAGTCAGCCCTTTCTGTTTCTCCTCCTTGGCTTTGGCGCCGGTTGCAGCTTTGGATTTCATGAGTTGCCTTTGTGATCACAAGACACACACACTCCTTAGTGGACTAGAAATGAAAAGTTTAGCCCAACGAAACGGTTGAACCAGCATTCATAAGTGACTCACCTGCCCTTCCTGGCGAGAACCTTCTGAGACTCTGGGTAGTGGACGAGGATATCAAACAGGTCTTTCTTTTCCAAAACAAAGAGGTTTGCAAAGCCATGGGCTTTCACGTTGGCCGTGCGCCTGTTTCCTCCATCTTTAGCGGACTGTAGTAAGCTGCAGCCAGTTACAAACACGTAAACACGCTTTTCCGATGCCGGCCTGGGGGGATGACTCGGTCTCCCTCAGGACAAAACTGGGATTGTAAATGCTGGATCTCTCACCTGATTTCTCCGAACACACAGCCAGCCTTCAGCGTGACGAACACGATGCTGTTGTCGGGTCCTCCCACCACCTGGACCGCCCCACCTTTGATGATGTACATCTCTTTCCCGATGTCTCCCTGCAGGGGAGAGCGTGGGACAGTGTTACCCTCCGACTATAGCACTCTGGCCAAGTGGTTGTTTCCCTGCTCACCTTCTTCACGACAAAGTCTCCTGGCAGGTAGATGATGGACTTGAGCCTCAGCAACATGTCTACTAACATCTGCTGGTCACAGCCCTGAAAGAGATAGATGCCACTATAGATGCCCACTTTTTTTTAAAGTCTCCGTTGAACCTTTTAATGTGCCTTTTTTCCACATGAATCTAAACACCAAGAGATTACTGCTAATTGTCCTTTTTTAATTTCTTTAAAACAAGTCCATGGTCTTCATCACCTGAAACAGCGCTATCTTCTGGAAGGTGGCTAAGTTGATGTCCACTGCGATGGCGATCCTCATCACCAGGGGCATTTTGTCCAAGAGCTCAGACTCATCTGAGTACGACAGGAGAACCAGTATTAAACAGACTGCTGGTAACTAAACATCCAATTCATAATGGAAGGCAGTGTTGCCTTTTTTTCTTATTCTCTTTCTATTTATCTACATACGTGTGCGTATTTACATCTGTGCATACATACACACATATACACGTCTCTATATATATGTAATCAGACTGGCTTACCTAGCATTCCCTGAGAAGCCCAGGTGTAGTTGTACCAGGTACGGACCCTGTTCTGGACCAGTTTGGGGATAGTATAAGTGTTCATGTATTCAACACAGCCATCCATCGATGCCCGAAAGTATGTCTGAGCTGCTGTTGCTGCTCCTATGACGTCTCTCATCTAAAAGAGATGAGCAGAGACAGAGTTGACACGGAAAGCAAGCTTTGTGAGGAGAAACTGTTAAATCGGCTTTTACGAAGGAATGAGACTTTGAAGTGACTACCTGTCCAATAAGACTGGAGAACACAAAGACGCCAATGAAAAAGTTGGTCATCTGAAAGATGATCTCAAAGACAGTTACAGGTTCTGGGAGCCCCCCGATGTTGATCAAACTGCGAACTGCAAAATAGTAACAGCGCAGGTACCTGTGGAGGGTAGGGAGCGAAAAGACTCGTTACAATTTGAATTTTGAACAAAAAGACCTATTTCCTGCAGATTAGGTTTGTGTGTGTTAGGGAATTTGATAGCACCAAGAAAAATGACAGGATATTTCACAGGTCCTCATCAAAATGAAAAATTAAAGCATCAGTGAAGAGTGTAATGTGCAGAAATAATATAACGAATATGAGTTACAGTGTTTGCATCTCTGTTTTTGGCATTGTGTGTTTTTTTTTTTGCTCAGTACTAAACGATATGGTCAGATTTTTGAGTCCTCACTACAGTTTTTAAGTAATTAATGTACAACAAGATAACTCACTTATTTAAACATTAAGAGTACACATGATGAACTGTACCAGAATCAAATGCCTATTACAGTTTACAGTTGGCAAACATGGAGTTCATAAAAAAAGGTTAGATAAATATGAAGCGTGAAGCACTTAAAGTCATATTGTTTGGGCTTAATATTTTTACTTTAATCAGCCTTTTCTTTTTTTAAACAAATAAAGGCTGCAAAGCCAATATTAAAATGCATTTACAAGTCACTGTGAGATTGTCTCTTTTCGTCTTTAGTGGGAACACCATTAAATACACCTTCAGAATATTAAAGTTGTGTGAACTGTCACTTTGGATGTAACACAATAGACAAACAGAAACGCACAAGACTTTGAGCAACATGGACAGCGTCTGGCTTAAAGCTAAACAGTGGTCTTTCAGCCCCACAGAGACGCAAACTTTGGTGTTTCAGCCTCACAGAGACACAAACTTTGATGTTTCAACCCACACAGAGAGCTCCTCTAGCAAAGAGAAATAAACGTACGCTGTCCCTTTTCCGTCATACACCCACGTAGTCGTTGCAAGACCCTGGTTTACTGAGGCAACGTAGAAGGCGCAGGCGTTAATATGGAGCACGTAGAGGAGGTATCCTGTGGTGCGGGCCACTCTGCATCAGACAGAGGACAGAAATGAAAAAGAGATGTATTTTTTTACATCCAAACAGGGTAGATGTGTGAGAAGAACTTTGTCTTCTCCCAACTTTTCTTTTCCTTTTTTTGCATGCAGCTCCCTATTCATTCGTTGCTCTGTGTCCGGCGGGTGTTTACCTCCAAATGTAGGCTTTGGCCATGATGCTCTCAAGCCGGTCGCTGAACTCAAAGAAAGACTCAAACTGCAAAGGAAGCAAAGTCACTGAGACCGAGTGGAACAGAAAAAGGCAGTGAAGTAAGAAAGGACCAGCTGATGGCCTACTCTGATGAAGCGGTTGAGTCGGTATATGGAGGAGAATTCAAACTGCAGGCAGATGAGGTCAAATGGGAGAATGCTGATTATATCAGTCTAAAGGGAGTAAACGTAGAAAATGAGTCACATTTGCACATATGAGGTAACAGTGAGTGGAGAAGCATTGTTAGTGTCAGAAGGTAAAGTAGTACTACAGCTTTTACACAGCTCCTATGAGACTCTGAAGAGGCCGTGTATGGAGGTTGTGATGATCGATTTCACATGTTATGGGCCTGTTAGGTGAACTGGTGCCACACAGATAAATAAAATAAGCTTAGCAGAATTAAATGCAATGTTGGGTTCCAGGTAACGGTGGTCATGTAATTGTAATAAAATTAGATAAATGTTTCTAAACTGAGTTCAAGGGCTAAAATGAAGAAAAAAAATGTGTCCAGAAATACTTGAGCGCTATATCCAAGAAAATATTACGGGCTTCTTTTTACTGCTGGGCATTTTTTCGCAAATCTCACCTTAAATCTTTGGGATTTCCGGTAATGCACCTTGGTCATTGCTCTGTTTTTCTGGAAGAAACAGAAGGGTTTTCTTTTTACTTTTAGCAGCTATATAGAGCCAAAGCTCCGTTGGTTCATCATAAATTTAAAAAATGTCCCCATGGTGATGCTTTTCAGTAATTTCTTTGTAACTTACGATGATGTCTCCGGCTTTGACAAACTGCAGTCGAGGTTGCCAAACCATGATGTCGATGACATTCACAACGTCGGCCAGAACGTCAAAGAAGACCCAGTATGGGTTGGCAGATTGGTTGTGGTAAGGGAAGGCCAGCCGGGCGGTGCAAAACCAAACGTTGTAGTTGAATGCAACCGCCACGAGGGCCAACCAGGCAATGTAGCGGCGATCTGAAATAAAAGGACGCCAAGGGGTTCCATTTCTAAACACGATGTGATGTGATACTGTTGCAAACCGTCCAGCATGGAGCAGGATTACCTGTGAAGGGGTCGATGGTGTTTCCCAAAATGGTATCCAGCTTCTCCTCGAACGGACGGAAAAGGATGTCGAAGCAGGAGCAGCTGAGGTCCGGGAGGATCTTTGCCTTCTTCTTGGCCTCCTCCGCGAGCCTCTCCTCCTCTGCTTTCTTCTCTGCCTCCAGCCTCTTCTCCTCATCTTTTTTCTTCTTCTCCTCTGCCTTTTTGACCACTTCCTCGGCCTTCCTTTTGTCTTCTTCTTCTTTTGCTATCCGCTCCTCTTCCTTCAATCTGATGTAGTCATCCTTTCTCAGGATAGGTGCTGACCAGGCAAAAACAGAGGTGGGTGGAGGGGTGAGTCTGCTGGCGGCCAGCTTTGTTACGGCTTTCCGTCTCTACCTCTATGAAACTACTGGAATTCTGGTTGTCAAAACTTACTGACAGGCGGGGTGATTTCTGGAGAGGTGGCATAAGGATCTATGGATTTCTCCTTGAGAATGTTTGTTCGCTCTCTTAACCTCAAGATAATATTTCTAAGGGTGTCATCTGCATAGCGGGAGTAGACAACAGGTGGTGGAGGTGGGGGTTCCTCCCTAAAAGGATACAGGGAAAGAAGCGTGAATCAGTCAAATAGGTGGATTTCTGGAAAATGTAAATATTTTTATATTTATTCCCAGAGGGAAAAATAAATCACCAAATATAACCATAGAAGCACATTTTGTATTAGCAACAAGAAGCATGTTGCTAATGTGTGGTGATTTACACCTCACAGTAGTAGTATTGTTCCTAGTTCCTAGTTCCTGGAGCCAAAGTTAACTGGTAATTGTGCATTTACTTTAGGACCGAATGTTCGAGGCTCCAGAGAGTCCCCCGCCTCCCGCCCAATGGCAGCAGAGATAAGCTCCTGACCTCCTGCAGAGCTGAATGGGACTACGTGGGCATATAAACGTGTACGGCTAGTTTAGCAATGCCGCTGACAAGTTGGTTTAAATAAATAAATTAGGTCTGGACAGACGATATCTGTGTTTTCTTCGCAGAGTTCAGAAGTCTACGGTATCAACTGTAGCTTCCATGTGAACGTTATCCCTGATCACTCTCCGTCTGTAACACCTCTAAGCTCCTAATCCCCTGTCATGCTTTGGAAGTCACATGTCACGGGTCACAGATAGGTCGCTGTTGTTTGTGCACAATGCAGACACCTCAGAGTTTGGATCTGTGAGGGTGGGTTTATCTGTGTGTGCGGTCAGCTCTTTGTTCACGAAGCTGATGTCGTTTACTGTTGTGAGGAATCATTCGGTGTTTCTGGAAATAGACACAGCTCAAGCTGGGCTAAGATGTTCTTAGTTGAGTTTATTTATAAAACTGCTGATTACTGGTTGATCGCTGGCAGTTTCTTGTCTGTCTCTTCTCATTACTTTGACTCCCACTTGAAACCTTCTTCTTAATGCTTGTAATTTCTTTCCCTAATTTATTCAGGGGAGTATCTTAGTCCGTGTTTAAGACTAACCTAACAACTCTCTGTTGTATGTTAAGCCTCGTGGGACTGGGTCCAGGTAAACAAAATGTTCTGTAAATTCTGAGGAGCCATTGTCAAACCCGAGCTGCTTTCTTGGTTCTCCAAAAGCCCATTCCCCCCCTATGAAAGCATTTAGTTGTCTCTCATTTTGTCTTCACGGCTCCCATTTGGCCTCATTAATCATCATCTTCACTCTTTTTGTCACTCTGTTTGTTCATATTGTTTCAGATTGACTCGGTCTGCTAGCTAGTGCCACGAGACTTTTTGTTTGTCTGATCCTTGCTCACATGACTGCCAATCCTAGCTGCTAAGACGTCTGAAAGGAGCTTCTTTGTTGTGGAGGGACACAACACTCGCTGCCCGCAGTGACCTTATTTAGCAGGTGGATCACATCAGGTCAAGCTGCCGTCATCTACTGTCACTTAAGGGAAAGGTAGATATTATACAACATTTTTACCCTTCGCCCTCCGGATTAGCGGGCGCATCAGGAGCAGCAGCCGGAGCAGGACCAGCAGCTGGAGCAGCAGCTGGAGCAGGAGCAGCTGGAGCAGCAGCTGGAGCAGCAGCTGGAGCAGCAGCTGGAGCAGGAGCAGCTGGAGCAGGAGCAGCTGGAGCAGCAGCTGGAGTCGGAGCAGCTGGAGCTGGAGCAGGAGTTGGAGCAGGTGGAGCAGCATCTGCATTTGGAATAAAAAATGTCATTCTTTTCTTATTTTCAACAAACCACAAGTAATAACATTATAACATACTTTTTTTTAAAGAGGTCACCATGGACATTTACTATAAACTTATAATCGCAACTCAAACAACTACTTATCCCTCAAACCAATCTACATTCTCACAGGTAAAACTTTTTGCAAGTTTTATTTCAAAGATTTTTTTGGCTCTAGTGGCCTTTAATGACAGTAGCTTGACAAGAAAGGGGGCAGAGATAGAGAGGGGGAGACCTGCGGGGAAGGGCCATGGGCTGGAATCAAACCCAGGTCGCCCGCTTGCGAGCAGAGGCTCTGCATATGGCCGCCCGCTGTAGCCATTAGGCTACAGCTGCGGCCCTTTTTTCAAGTTTTAAACCAAGAAAACAACTCATGGCTTCAAAACTAACCCGGCCACTCACTGATTCTGATGGCGACATAGTCGCTACGGCTACATGGCCAGTGCAACTAGCTGCTGCAGCTTTAGGCAACACCAGTTTATCATCTGCTAGTGGCTGCTGGCTGACTGTTCTCGGTAAGCAGTGCACTTCCAAAATGTTTGAAAAGAAGCAGAAAGTGAAAACGTTACGGCACTAAAGCCTGGACCCAGGCCCAGTATGTTTGGAAGTTTGCTGCTATACTCCCTACATAGCCACAGATGTTTGCAGGAACTATTGGTTATGACACGTCTTGGGATTTTAAAAGCTATAGACGGGGTGGTCAGCTGATTTTGGAACAATTAGACAAAAATCACTCAAGTATATCTTCGATTTTTGTGAAAAAGAGGTGAGGTCCTGTAAAAAACAGTTGCCAGTGGATTTGAACTATACGTGTTGTGTCTATTTGGCCTATTCACAATTTTCATTCGCCACCAGATCTTATTCTTCAAGTCTACTTTAAATAAGGGACATACACACAGTGTGCATGCTTGAAAAACTCCTATTACCTTATACCTATTTAAAAATGTTGTACACACTTTTTGATTCCTAGAGACCTGAAATGGTGCATTGTTTTTCAGGAGGCCGAGTTGTGTTTACCCCAACTCGGCGACCGAAACAGATAAACCGATTATCCTAGAAAAGCGACTGGATTTTTAGGGTTTCAGATGTCAATAACACAGGGTGACTCTTCCAGAACTATCATCAGAATAACACCATTTACCAAGTGATCGCTGATTTTGACGGACATCTCACCTGCTTTTGGCTCCTCTTTTATTTCCTCTTCTTTTTTCCCCTCATCTTTCTTTTCAGCTTCTTCCTTCGGCTCCTCTGGTTTTGTCTCCTTTTCCGGTGGCTTCTCTTCCTGGAAAGCGCATGTGAATAGGGGTGGTAATGCAGTAAAGCTGATTCTGAATATTCTATCTATCTTTAACACCTTACAGCATGACCTTTAATCCTATGGTTAAAAAAAACAACACATACAAAAAATAATAAGAATTTGTAGCTCATCCCTATGCCTGATTGACTGTTATACCACACAGTATAGAAGATATTAACCAGGAAGAGTGGGATGGATGGAAAACCTAAAAAATATAAACCTCCCAGCCATTTCTGTGGCCAGCATAGAGGCACAAAGCAACAGCCAATCCGCCCACACAGGACGGGCCTCCCTGCTGGGGAAAATCGCTGCTCTTCTGAGTGCCAAGCTACTTCGAAGGCTTTTACTGATGAGTCGTCTGTCATTGTGTACCCTAAACAGCTTTGGGAAAACTTTGTAGCGGACACATATTTGAATCAATCACTATCAACTTTACACGGTGCATAAGCTACGGGATCGAGTCAAGAAAAACGAACAGCTGCTCTGTAGGTAAAATGTAATGTCAGAAATTGGTTGAGGTTTGACCGGCAGACTTTTTTTCTTTCGAATCACACAAAATTCTGAGGTGCTCAGGCCTTACCTTTGGCGGGGGAGCTGAAGTGGAGGGCGGAGCCGCTGCTCGGGCTGGGGGAGCCTCGGGAGCCCCCAGCAGTCTCTTCAACCTGCTGAACATGTCGGGCCCTCGGGCAGGCTACAGCGAGCGGCCCGGTCCATCCATTCCTCGTCCCCTAGCTCAAGAGAACTCCCTGGATCCTCGTCTCACACCCAAACAACAGACTGAGGCATTTAAATTTCTAAGAATCAGTAAGTCCCTCTGGGCACTCCCCTTTCTCCTGGAACCAACATCAGATCAGCCAGCATACCCGCCAATCACTGCTAGGCCGGATAATGGTTTTTCCTCACAGTCTGGTCAGAATGACTTTGATTGGGAACATAGTGGCAACAGCTCAAACATATTAGTTATGAATATAAAACAGAGTCAAATCAAGGACCAATTGAAGCTGCGTGAAAGTGAAGCTCAGTAAACAGTTATTATTACAGCTAGTTGACATGATGCCTTTTAAAAGAATTCTCAGCATCTGCTAAATAACCACTTTTATGTTTAGTTTAAAAAAATAAAACTATTTAAAGTAGAGCTCTAGACGCACTGAGCAACAAGATGCTACATGACATGCATTAGTAGCCCGCAGATGTATTGGATGAAAGTAGTCTTTTGAATTTTGATGGTGCTCGGGTTCAAACAGCCACCCTGTCTGTAGAAATCACCAGTGAACAGACCACATAGTTAATCAGCCTTTGCAATGTCACTGTGTGGCTAACAGGATTACAAAGGATCTACTCTACAACTGATACCGCGCATGCTAAAAGCAGACGGACACACAATAAATTACTAAAGATGACAAAAGGAAAAGGCGGACTGACTTTAAATGAAGCAACTCTTTATTTAAAGCAGATATAAATGGATAGAAATCCAGTCGAATGAAGAGTTAAAGAACACTGAAGCAATAATTCCAACCCAACAGGGAACGTTGTCAGTGTGGATTGAAGCAGGGTTCATTTTGAGCAGGAAATCAGTTTTTCAAAGAGGGCAAAATAGTCAGTTAAAGAGGAACTTTACATTATATGAAAAACACGTCTACTTTAGCTGAAGATTGACGTGTTGCTTAAACCCATCTAGACTGCTGGAACCACACATTTCAATCTGTCCGTCTACTAGTAATCATAATTAAAAAAAGACACTTAGTATAAAATAAATAAGTAGTAATATACTGAAAAAAGTACTTGCACTCCCAAAAAGGAGTTGTTAAAAATCCAACCGGAGTCATGAGGGCTTTTCACTAGCCATCGTTGGAGGACTGGGGAAAGGAAAGAAGAATATAAGAAGCGGATTGGTCAACATTTGCCACAATCTGGGGTGCATGAGTAATTCTGATGGGTTACCTTCATTTTTTCAATCATCTTCTTGTTAATGGTTCCACCGAAGGCTCGGAGCAGTTTGGGTGTTGGTGGTTTGGGGCCAAACAACGCCAGTCCTTTCTTCTTTTCCTCGTCGGCTTTGGCTGCTGCTGGGCCCTTAGCTTTCATGAGTTTTCTGCAAAAAACACAAAAGCAAGTGTTTCCAAGTATGGATGGAGATTTGAACCTATAATAAATATTCATGATCATATTTTATTCACTGTATTCTTTTGCAATTCAGAATATAAAATAGACCAGATACTGCATACGAAAAACATCATAGAAAACTCAAACCATTATGGAATTGTCAAACCAAACTGACCTTCCTTTCCTGGCCAGAACTTTCTGAGACTCTGGATAGTGGACCAATATGTCAAACAAGTCTTTCTTCTCCAGGACAAAAAGGTTGGCGAAGCCGTAGGCTTTGACGTTGGCCGTCCGTCTGTTCCCTCCATCTTTGGAAGACTGTAACAGACTTTTGACAAAAAAAAAAAACAAGTCAAGAACAAATCGCAAGTGTTTCGAGTTGTTTTTCTGTTTGAGCACACGTCCACTTCAGAACACGTTCTATTCTTAAGTGGGTAAGACAAGACTCTTCGCATCTGCAGTTCCACGGTGGTGGAACAACCTTATAAGCACTATCATAGCATCAGATTATCTTTCCTCCTTCAAGAAATCCTTGAAGACCTAACTCTTCTCTTGTCCTGAAAGCTCTAAATGCCCTTATTTCTTAATAGCATATTGCACTCAATGTGTGGCACTTTAAACTATGTCATGAATGTTCAATCCATAAGGTTAAATTCTCTTCTAGCATATTGCACTTAAGGTAAGACAAGTGTGCTCCGGAAACTGGTGCTGCAGTTGAATGTTAAACCCTCTTTTTGTAAGTCACTTTGGATAAAAGTGTCTACTAAATGCAGAAATGTAAATGTAAGCTTGCCTGATTTCCCCGAACACACATCCAGCCTTCAGCGTGACGAACACAATGCTGTTGTCAGGTCCTCCCACCACCTGCACGGCTCCACCTTTTATGATGTACATCTCTTTCCCGATGTCCCCCTGCAAGACGTCACACACGGGACATAGTGTGCTCATTTTGGAGGTAAATAGGACAACTGATATTATTCCTGCTTCAAAGCTGCGCACACAAAAAACACGCTGGCATGAACTCACTTTTTTCACAACAAAATCCCCAGGCAGGTAGATGATGGACTTGAGCCTCAACAACATGTCCACCAACATCTGCTGGTCACAACCCTGTGAAAACAGGATAGGGAAAAAATAAATAACCAGTCTTTGGAATCATTTTTCAACCGTGTGAGAGCTTTTATTTCCAAAAGCCAGAACCTTGAAAAGGTCGATCTTCTGAAATGTTGCCAGGTTGACGTCCACAGCAATTGCTGTTCTCATCACTAGAGGCATCTTATCCAGCAGCTCCGACTCATCTGCACGTCAACGTTAAAACAGAAAAGTCAGTAAACGTCTGGATGGATGAAACAACTGGGAATTCAGCATTTTACCACTCAACATTTAATGCACATACTCAAATTTTCTCCAGTTTTAAACCCCTTAATTCTTCACTTTGAATACATAGTCCAGCAACTTAGGGGGGCTGTGAGGGAAAATGTTTAATATGACATTTTTCTTTTAAGTGGGTACGTTTTAGCTTATTTCTATAACTATCGATAGATAGATATAGAGAAGGAATAGACTATATAATGAATTTACTGTATGCTATTCGAGAAGTTATATCTTTTGAAGAAAAACAGAAAAAAAATTTTAGCCATGGGGAAATTTGTGTTTAGCTCTTTTAGGTACCAGCTAAAGGTACACCGGTGGTGGACTGGTGACTTGTCCAGGGTCTACCTTACTTCCCACCCAATACTGGAAAAAGTGGGTATAGACAGTCGATTGATTACATAGTTTTTGGAGTTATGGTGTTTGTTGCCATAGGCCAGGCTATGGGCTTTACTATGTATGGTCGACCTGGCAGGCCAGCTGGAATTCCCTTGAGGATCCTGCTGATTTTAATTCAAGTTGGTTGTTTTTGCTACCGGGTATTGTAAAATTGTCTTTGTTTCTTTGGTAATGGCATCTTATCTGTAGAGCGCAATCCTTTTGTCATGGTTAGGTTATTCGAGGACGTCTGAAATACGGAGAGGCGTCACCAGATGCCTGGCTGTAAATGAACGATGTCCAATGTATGCTTACCCAGCATGCCCTGAGCGTCCCATGTGTAGGTGTACCAGGTGCGGACTCTGTTCTGCACCAGAGAGGGAATGTTGTTGGCCACCATGTAGGCTACTGTGTTGTCCATAGAGGATCGAAAGTAGGTCTGTCCCGCTGTGGCCGCACCAATGACATCTCTCATCTGAGGCAGCACGATGAGAATAAAGTTGATAAAACCACCCATGTGACTCAGTATACAACATAATCTTTTTAAAATGCTATATTTAAAATATTTGACCATCAAGACTTCACAGAGAATCAGGAATATTTTACAGATAAAGGTATTTGTGGTGCAGTTTACCGTCTAGAACAGGTTGATCTATCACCACAGTCACACAATAAGTGGGGAAAGAGATTCTAACACAGAGATGCTAATATTTTGGAGCCGTATGGAATGAGGATGCTATAGGGCTCTGACTCGTGCTATAGGGCTCTGACTCGTGCTATAGGGCTCTGACTCGTGCTACGGGCGCATTGGCTCTCTGTTACCTGTCCAATCAAACTGGAGAACACAAAGACGCCCGTGAAAAAGTTAGTCATCTGAAAGGTAATCTCAAAGACGGTGTGGGGCTCGTTAAGACCCCCGATGTTGATCAGACTGCGGACAGCATAGTAGTAACAACGCAGGTACCTGTAGAGAGGGCCGGGTGTTAGAGGGGCTTTGACCAACTACGCTTAATCGTCCGGATCACTGAGTTTTAACAGACTCATTTGGAGGTTTTTGTGGTGGAAGAAGAGCTCCGAATTTTTTTGGGGCACGTTATGAACATGAAAGTTTTAAGGTTTGATTCCCTTGATGTCTCGCTGCTTTTCTAAAAATAAAATCTTAAAAAAAACTGGAAAAGGAAATCACAATATAGCATATCTTGTTTGGATTAAGATTAAAAAGTAAAATGACCATGCATGTCATATGAAAGAAGCTACCTGGCCAAGAATGGTGGACATAAAGAATGCCCCAAAAAGGTAGTTCACCATCTGAAAGACCAGCTCGAACATGGTGTCTGGATATGGCAACTCAGCGATCATCATGAGGGACTTCTCCGCATAGAAGAAGCAGCTGATGTAACTGCAGCAGCAGCAAAGATGGAACATATAAATTACTTTCAATTTTGAATTCTCTTCGGATCATTCAATGAGCAAGAGGTTGTTGTGGGTCTGCGGTGTCATGTTGTATCCTACAATCGTACAATGTGTGCACTGTGGAAGTAAAAGCTTGGCTGATTGACATA